AATTTATTTTGATTCTAATTTATTTTGTCTCATAAATTTATACATTTCTAAATAATTTTATTGATTACACATATTAAAAGGTATTTTTATTAATGAGGATAATTTCTAATACAAATAATTAAATAAATTAATTTTTAAAAAATAATACATTTTATTAAATAAATAATAATTAACTTAATTAATTTTTTTTGTTACCATTTATCCTTAGGATTAGTAAGTAAATACTAGTGCTTGGTTAATGTTGGGCAGATTATTTAAGTAATTTAATCCAGAGGTAGCTTCCAAATTAATCAAGGGGTTGCTGCAGATGGTTAAGTACGAGACATCAAAACAAAATACATCATCCAGTATTCTTCCATATATCTACGGCTTTCCTTAAATGTTGTGGTCTTACTTCCACGGAATACTGCTGGTTCCGGCGACTTCAGTGGCCGGACAAGAATTATCAGCTCCGATGTCCCCCCGTATGTCGAAGCGGGGGTGCTATAGCGCGGACGGAAACTCCGCGGCCGGTGACCCAAATATTGTCGGAGCAGCAAATGCGAACGCGAGTCTTAGGTGCGGCAACTTCAAAATCGCAAGTGGGCCGTGCTGATGTTCAGGGATGGATAAACATTAACCACAATGTTAGCTTTAACGTTAATCCTGCCAAGGTTCTTCGAGCGTTGCTAGGTGGAGATTCCCGGTCGAAAGTATCTCTTCTGACCCCCACTTGCCCCGTTTTGAATCACACCGGATCTCTTGTGGCCAAAGTTCAAGTTGAAAACCCTCCCGCTCGTGATCTTTGCCTTGGCCTTGGTGTTGGTGTTGTTGACCTTAATGCCGGCGGTTTTTTTTTTTTTGTGAATTCAAGAGGCAAGAGAACTTGACTTACAGCAAAGGACTAAAACCCAAAAACAGAAAAAACAAAACACAAGCAGAAAAAACGCTAAAAACAAAACTAAAGATGGTCTAATGCCGGCGGTTTTGACCTTTCGGCTACTGCATAAATTAATTAATAATATTTGCTCTGTATTATATGTCGAAGTGTCTATATTAAGAATAAATTAAAAATAATTACCCTTAATTACTCATATACTATATGACTATAGAATAAGTGGCTTGCGAAATACTCCTCTGGTTCTATTTATATGATAGAAAGAGAAATTCTTTTGGGTCCTATTTATAAGTCATTTCATTAAATTTTTACTATGAATATACCATATTGTCCTTCATTTATTATAGTGTAGATAATTATTTTTTTTGAAAGGAGTATATATTAAATAGGGGTAAAGTCGGAAAGTGACTATACTTTAATGAAAAGTTACAGTTTAAAATTTTTCTTGATTTGTGTAAAACAGTTGGAAATGCCTTATAAATAGTGTCAAAGGAGTAAATATATGTATCCTAGCTCCTTTCTTTCTGTTACTAGATGCATTGTTTTTTTTTTTTTGGGGACATCCATGATGTTGGCACCTAGGAAATGAAAAGATTTTGAGACGTCAAAATTCAAAATTTTCAGAAATAATGGATTTTTAATCGCAGCTTCGAGTGCTTAACAGAAAAGAGGTACATGTCTTCGCCTGTGTTTTCAAATGCCAAGAACAGAGACAAACAGAGTATCTCAGTCTCTATTTTATTTGGAGGTAGCACCCATTTGGCGTAACCTTGATCTAGCACTATAAGGCCCGTTTGGAAAAGCTTATAAGTAGTTTATAAACTGCTTTTTAATAGTAATTTATGGAACATGAGAAAAGTATGTGAGATGAGTTTTGTTTCGATTTACGTGAAACGTGTTTATAGGATATTTCTACCGCTCTGCCAAACGGGACCTATAACTACACTGAATCAGCTTCTTCAACCCCGACATCGTGTGTGCACATGGAATGGAGGATTTCCAGTCAGAAGACAACAAATTTATAGAAGAGAGAGAGAGAGAGTGAGAAAGGGCTTTTATCCTAACTACTCCTAATACATGCATTTTTTAATTTAATGAAAATATAATAGATATAGAATTACTTCATAAAATCTTTTGGTAGCCCCGGTTGCCTTCCATGCGTGCACGTAGGTAGCAGATAACATAATATTTGCACTCAAAGGTTTAAAGAATAAACACATGCATGAGAAAACATTTAGTTTAAATTGGGAAAAAAAACTTGTGAAATACAAAACCACTTACTTCTGAAGGAGGTAGAGGTGCAAGATAAATCAAATAGCCTTTTGCTTTGTGTGGCCTGCTTTATGCATTGTTCCCTATTGGCCTACTGCATGAATTAGTATGAACGTGACGTTTGTGTTTGGGTTGGTGGCCGGCTAGACAGAGTCCCTTGAACATCGACCATGAGATTAATATCAAGGTCTTGGTCCGTGGCGCTGTAGGAACCAAGAGAACAATATTGAAGTTAAGCCAAGCCATGTGGTTACGCTGTAATATGCCCTCACTGAGATTAACTGGATGTGTACTGTATTTTGATGGTGTAGATAGATAGGGCAACTGGCAAAAAAGAGGGCTTTTGAACATCAAAACACAAACACACATCCAATATATTACAACAACGTAACATGGCTTATACCTTAATTAATACTCTTCGCCTGCGTGCTTTGCTGCTCCCCACAGCGTCACTGGGCCAAGACATTGCGATTAATTTCGGGATCGATGTTGGAGGGGATGTGTCTAGCACGGTGACCGGCAACACCGCGGCGGAGGCCAGCTTCAACGCGGCCGCAAACCCAAACGTGTGAGCGGGGTGTGTAGAGACACGAAGATCGTCGATGGAAGAGCGAAAGCTGATGGATGGATGTTATAAGGTAGCTAGTATTATTGTGGCGGTTCTGTTTTAATGCCGCCACCTATTTCAATGTTCCCATAGGTTTGTGGATTAAAAGTGATGCTAATATATATGTGTGTGTGTGTGTGTGTGTGAGTGTGTGCGCTATTTTTGGCATGCCGCATGAACTTTTTTCAACCTTCCTAATTGGGAGGTGGACCGACCAAAGCAAGTTACATCAAGAGGGAGAATAAAAGAAGCATGTTAATTAGTAGATGGACATTTTCTCAATGTTAGTCTTTCTACTTTCCATTGCGCCGAAAAACATTAATGAGCTGCTCCTCTCCTCCGGTACTTGGATCTACATTGGTGAGCTGCTCCTCCCCTTGGCTACGTAGTTGTATCTAATTTGAGATTTGATGTTAATGCTATTTATTTGTGAGACTTAATTTACATATTTATCAATTTTGTTTTGGATGAATTCTATTGATATTTCCTTAACAACAATCAAGTAAGGGAAGAAAGAAGATAATTAAGAAAGATGATTAGGATCTTTTAAAAAAAAATCATATTAACTAATTCAACTAAGATGTTTAATTTACTTAAATTAATTAATTAGCTTTTATATTTGGTATGAGAGGAGCATTAATTAACAAGCTTCACACGCCACTAACTCAAAGCCTACGGTGCAGGAAATGTCTCCTTTGAATAATGATATCGAACTCTTTGAAATTTCAGATTCAAAAGAATAATCCCTTTCATTTATGTACTCGAAATACTCCTTTGGCTATTACATTTACTTGAAATGGATGCGCGAAAATAATATTCCCAGATTTCAAAATCCAATAAGAGTATATATAATTTATATATAGGGATAAATAAATTAAGGGATCGTCGTAATCCCCCCACAAGCTGATTAATCAAGTGCCGTTGCTTGAGCTATGAGCTATATATTGAAAACGGAGCTTGAAGCTATTAATATAGATAAATTATACTACCTCTGGTTCTAATTATAAGAGCCAATTGACTAATTTGAGGAGATTAAAGAAGTAAGTTGAGTTAGTTATTTGTTCTAAATAGGCGTTGTCTTTCCTAAAATATCCTTGCTAATCATGTATATTGACTAGAATTATCATTGTTAGAAGAGCTATTTTGAAAAAAAAAATATAAATATGAGAGACAAAGTGGATTGAGGTCTTATATTTAGGACCAAAATAAAAGTCAAACATGATCTTATATTTAGAATCAGAGGTAGTACAAATACTTCTCCCGTCCTAATATACCTATTTTTTAATGTAAATTAGACTATAAAATGGGTTTTATATTTAATATTGAACGAATACTATTGTTATATATATATATATATATATATATATATATATAAAATCTTGTACCTGCACTGTAATTCTGCCTCTGTTTCCTATTGCTAAAGCCAGAGGCAAACAGAGTATCTTCTGCCTCAATTTTATTTGGCGTCACTAGCTTTAGCTAGAAGTGTAGTTACTTCAATTCCTGATTTGCCCATATCGCTGCTGATCACAATACTCCCTCGCATACATCAAATGGCTGGAAACAGTTTGTACAAGATCTTGATGACGTTCGAACATGTCAGAGGCATAGGCAAGAACAAAAGAACACCTTTTTGAACCGGCATAACCTTGATCTACCACTATTATAACTACACTGAAGCGGCTTCTTCAGCCTCGAAATCGTCGTCTTAATATCAGAAAGCGACGATCGCGTCCGGAATGGAGGATCTCCATTCCACTTAGAAGACAACAAGCTCATACAAGCATGTAAAGGATGAGGTCACTGTTTCTTCCTTGAGATCGGTAATCATAGAAGAGAGAGCGAGTGAGAAAGGGAGTGTATCCTAACTCATAATACGTGCATTTTTTTTTTCATATTTTATCATTATATTTTGTAACCTAATGAAAATATAATATAATAAAATTACATATCTGTTGCCCAGTTAAGGAAACCGTTTATCTTCTCATTAGTTCCTTCTTCATCTTCTAAGCAGTATTTTCCAAATAATAATACGCCCTATGGGAATCTAGTTTGGTGGTGGGCACTAATGTGATGAGCACATAAAGATTCCACATTGCCTAACATTATCACAATGGCTTAAAAGCTAAAATAAATTAAAAATCTGGAGTTTATGGTTGTCACAGGACTCGTAATCTCACACCAAAATCGTCTATAAATTCACACGGCAGCTTGAGGGTTTGGATACTCACATAGTGCCTGAGATTTGCGATCCTTCTCTGATCTGAGTCAGAGTTGTTGAATTTAGGGTTTTTAGTAGTAATCGAGAGAGAAGAGAGATGGCGATGGATCTGAGCCCACAATTGGCGAAACAAGTATACGGAGGTAATGGAGGGTCGTACTATGAGTGGTGCCCCTCTGAGCTTGGCATGTTAAGGCATGGCAACATCGGTGCGGCCAAACTCGCCGTCGAGAAGGACGGCTTTGCACTTCCGAGCTACTCCGACTCCTCTAAGGTTGCCTACGTTCTTCAAGGTATCTATTCCATCGTCTTTGATGATATATTATTATGTCTGTAAAGCGTCTTTTTCACTGGAGTGATCACGCATGATATTCATATTTGTTTTTATTATCTTCAATAGTTGCTATATGGTATGGGTCTGGTTTTTCTCCTCAAATCTTTGATTCTTGAAAAATTTGACACTGGGATTAAGTAGCTGAGTTCACACTTTCACAGTGGCGCTAATCAGTCCTTTTGATTTATAAATTTTAATATAATAAATTTCTTTTCTTCTTGTTTTTTTTACGGAATATATTTTGAATATATTAACATAAAAAAGATTACAAGAATAAAAATAAAGTAATATTACATCTGGCACTGAAACTCAATTTGGAGCTATTGAGAATAACGGCAGGTAAAACTTAAAATCGTTCGTTGATGATTATGGAGGAGCAATATTAAAAGATAAAGTAAGACAGAAAAACATACAAAATAATAGTAAAAATATGTCCTGAATATTTATATTGGGTATTGTAGTTATAACTCAATATTATATTGTGAAATTGCGTCTCCCAGGAAACGGGGTTGCCGGAATTGTGCTTCCTGAATCAGAAGAGAAGGTTGTTGCCATTAAGAAGGGCGATGCCATAGCACTCCCTTTTGGTGTTGTGACATGGTGGCACAACAAAAACGACGCCGAATTGGTTATTCTTTTCCTGGGCGAGACTTCGAAAGCTCACAAGGCCGGTCAATTCACCAACTTCTTCTTCACGGGTTCTGATGGAATCTTCAGTGGTTTTTCCACTGAGTTTGTGGGCCGAGCTTGGGACTTGGACGAAAAGGACGTCAAGTCTATTGTTGGAAACCAATCAGGCAAAGGCATTGTGAAGCTTGATGGCAACATTAAGCTTCCCGAGCCAAAGCAGGATCATCGTAATGGTATGGTACTGAACTGTCTAGAGGCTCCATTGGACGTTGACATTAAAGGAGGTGGAAGGGTTGTGGTTTTGAACACGAAGAATCTTCCATTGGTTGGTGAGGTTGGGCTTGGTGCTGATCTGGTTAGGTTGGATGGAAGTGCCATGTGCTCTCCTGGGTTTTCTTGTGACTCTGCCTTACAGGTCACTTATATTGTCAGAGGAAGTGGTAGGGTTCAGGTTGTTGGTCCCAATGGTGAGAGAGTGTTGGAGACAACCATAAAAGAAGGTTTTCTGTTAATCGTACCCAGGTTCTATGTGGTCTCAAAGATAGCTGATCTTGATGGAATGGAATGGTTCTCTATCATCACCACCCCCAAGCAAGTCTCTCTCTCTCTCTTCCTTCTTGTGATATGCATAATTGCTGTTCTCATGTTTGAATGAAGAAGTTCTGCCTAATGTCATAGAAGCTTCATTGTTTCGCATCCAGGGAACATATTTATGCTTCTATTTCAAATTCTGAATGATTTTATGTTTGATGCAATTTATAACAGTGCTGATTTTTCTGATTATGACTCAATTGTTTGGCAGTCCTATTTTTACCCATTTGGCTGGAAGTTCTTCGGTGTGGAAAGCCCTGTCTCCTGCGGTTTTACAAGCTGCTTTTAATGTGGGCTCAGGACTTGAACAGCTCTTCCGTTCGAAGAGGACTAATGACGCCATCTTCTTTCCCCCACCAAAGTAGATAAATGACATGACTATAACCTTCAAGACAAGAGGAAGTCTTTGTATTCTCTTTTTGACAGCATTATTTAGATTTTGCGCTTGACTTGAGTTTTGTCTTTTATGTTTTGAAGTTAAAGGAGGTGTTTGAACCATATACATTACTGGTTTTAACATATCCCAAGGCCTCGATGTACTTCTCCCGCGAAGGTACTCCATGCTCCATCCCCACAAAAACGCCCCATGCCCTTTATCAAGTACCGAATCCTTCATGGAAGACAATTTTATTTTATCAATTTCCTAAATCAACTTCATAGATATTGCAAATATACTGATTTATTTGTAAACCATCCATTACGAAGTAGAGCATTATGTTTATTCTTATGCTTTTATTTTTATAAAATTCGTTATCATATGAAAAAATACAATAACTAGTTATCCCTTTTTTTCTTGGGTGACATTTGGCAACGAACTAGTTATCCTTTTTTTCAAACGAAAAAAACGGGGAGCACAATTGACATCAATGTATTCAGACATTGATATGCTTTTGCATTATATTTATAGCATTATTGTATTACGTGACATAACTATATCTAAAAATCCAGTCAAAATATGAAAATCTTTCTTTAGATGTTTAAAACATTTTCAACTGCACATGAAAAAACGGTTATAGGTAACAACAGAGAGGAGGAAAGAGACGCGTAAAGATATTTAACAAGGATAAATTCGCAACTTGAATGTCCAAAATAGTCATAAAAGGTAAAGGGATTTTTTTTTTTGGGGGGGGGGGGGTCAAAGCAATGGAATGCAATGCGTGCAGACCTACAAAGGTGGGCAATGAGATTCACTTGAGACAGCAAAAGAATCATCATCTCCAGTCCGATCCCACCTGCCTGATAGACAGCCCTATAATCCAAGAAAGATGATAGACACATAACACTGCACAGCTAGCAATATCTAGCAGCATAATACTGGAAACTAGACGGCAAACCATTTTTAAAACGAAGTATCGGTATGACAATTTTTTATGGGTTCAAGATGATGAATGATACCCAAATGTCGCTACTTTTTGCCGAGAAAAAGTTGGACGGTGATATTTGCTGAAAGTTTCAAGTTTGTACAAATTAAATGGAAGTAAATCACATCATGTTACAGTAGGATGAGTAGCCAGGGAGATGAAACTATCCGAAGATGAAGCCTGATTAATGTTCCAAATGCTCGATTACAGAACATGACATACAGACCCAAACATAAAAAAATATTGTTCACTTGCCTAATCTGCATCCATTTCTTCAAGAGCTGCCTTGGCTGCCGCCTTCGCTTCTTCCAAAAGATCATCTGGGACCTGCGTATCAATATAATGACATTAATCCTGGGAACATGGTATCCTAATACACTTCCAACATTGGCTAATAGATTTAATTCCATGCCCAAAATCGGAGCCTCTGCACCTGAGTGCATGTGTCCCTAATATCTCAATCCAGGAGAAACAAAAAATATTAACAGCTATATCATTTAACAATCAACTCGTTTGCCAGCAGATGATAAAGAAAATGAAACAAAGATGCTGCAGATATATTATTTATGGATGCGTTTGTTTTATGTGTTGCATGATCACGCCCACACCCTTGTACAAAAGCAGGGTATTTACCTTCACATGTTGGCGGTTTGATTCATCACATACCCAGCTCATTTCAAGTTCAAAGTCTTTATCCTTGGCCTCATCATGAACTCCGTAAATACTGCTTGCCACCAAAAACAAACAATTTTGTAAATAATAATTTTAGTGCATAGGGTGTCATGGTTAGATTAAATCCTCCCCCCTTCCCCTGGCAAGAACGAAAGAACCCAATATGTCAGCTTTAAACCCCTACCGACCCCGCAAAAAAGATCATCATCATCATCATCATCATCATGCATTTTGAATGCCAAAAAGTAGGGGGAAATTTCTTACAACTTGTTTGGCATATAAAATGAAAAAGGCATGAAACAGAAAGCAGAACAAAAAAAGTATTTTGAGGATGAAAAATGATGTCTTTATTCTAAAAAGATAAGAAGCGAGATAAGATAAAAACCATTGAACAGGAAAGAAAAGAGGATCCAATTGCTCTCCCTCTACCGAACAGGCTGTAGCTTAACTGGCAAGACAGAATGAAACTCAAACACTCCAGCACCTTAAAACTCTTGCATTCCAGAAACTATAAAAGTTAATGATAACTACCATTACTTTAGATTAGTAGTGGTCAATGCCTCAATGGTACCATTCCCTTTAATGGATGAAAATTTTAATCTAGTTGCTTTCATGTTTTCGCAGCCTCAATGTGTATTAAAAACCTAAAACTTACATATTGCTTATGTGTACACCAATGACAACAACAAAAAACTTCATCCCACTAGGTGGGGTCAACATACTACTTTTTAATTCCATAAATCATGCTAAAAAAAATCTCAAAAAAAATCTATTGTCAATCAACACATTAGATATGCCACATCTATCCCATTATTCTCTGACAAGGCAAAAGCCTTATATTCCCTTTACTGCTCAATTTTTACAACATTTTGAATCTGTAATTATGACTGTGATATCTGGCACGCCAATCCACACTTTAAATGTAAAACAATAAATATATAAAACAAGGCAAGGACAACAAAACGTGAAATTTACCGAGTCTTGTGTCTAAAATATGTCCAAACAAATTGCCATATAAAATTACAGCCAATAATCAAGCTACTTACATCTTGGCTACCTCAACAACCCCCTGGCGGCAACTCATTTCAGAAAGCTTCAACTTCTCAATCTCTCTGCCAAAGGCATTAAGCAGAACAATTTAAAACCATATTGCTACAACTGGCATCTCAATATTACAATACCAACAAAAGCATTTTAAGACAAAAATTACAGCCAGTACAACAGTTTTATCTTGAAGATTTCTAATAAACTAAAAGGTCTTATGATTCTCACAACTTCACAGAAGAATTCCCAATGTATTTCAGCAACTTTGCAAAATTTTAAACCACAAGATTTGATGTTTCATCACCTCCAAAGTATTATTGTATTGGTACAGCATCATATTAATGATTACTACAAAATTATAAAACTGATCTCACTTACGTTTTAGCAGCCTGCCTGCCCTTCCCAATTGCTGCACCAAAATACCTCTAAACAAATACCAAAACACAATCAGTTCAAAGATACAAACGAAACTGATAAAAAATAATTTGAACAAACATGCTAACTATTGCAAAGCCATGACATAGCCATAACAAATATAAACTCACATAGGAAACACCAGATGGTTCGATCACGTGCAATTGTGGTCCATCTCTGTCATAACCACCTAGTATGACACCACATCCAAAAGGTCTGCAAAAACAATATAGTTCTTTCAATACAATGAACCATTGAGGATAAAAAGTTGAAGGTTATCATTGACAGTTAATCAGATCTTGTTTAACCTGAGCCACCAGTATAGCGTACAAAGGTGCACATAACTAGCCACACGTTCCGCAAGTTCCTTGACGGGAATTTGCTCACCATAAACACTGAAAGGAAAAACTGAATGAACATATTTTCTTTTCATAAGTTGAACCAACAAACATTTAATAATACCTCACAACTCTCAAAGTACAACATCGTCATAGTTTTCGTTCACTAGTTAATCAAGACAATCTGCCTTTAGTCTTTAAACATCAATGTTTAACATTAAAAAGAAAATAATATCAGTTTACACCTTAGTACATAAAGATACTAAGCAAATGTTTGTTCCACTCAAAATGTTTACTCAGTTATTTCTAATTATACTCAGTTCAGTACCAATCAACAGAAATGCAATTGCATCTTTCTCCATAGAAAAGGCAGTCTAAGCATTGAAAATCACAAGCATTGAAGCATATATGCCAAAACTAGCGGTGCAATTTATGAAGACATCCATTAAAACACTGAACAATACAATATACTCCCTCATTTCACCCATAACTTTGACTTCTTTCATGATAGAGTATATCAACATATTCCAGATGAAAAATTAATGGACATGTTTAAATGCAGACAATGATATCCACAAGTCTTTCTGTCAATTTATAGGACAGGAAAAACTAGGTAGGTATCACCTCACTGGCTTCACGATGGAATCTATAACTTATCCCAGAAAAAGTTTTGCTGGCTATTTCATTAAGGGCAGATAAGCAACAGTAGTGAAAATTGCCATCTAATACTCAAAATGAGAACTAATAACTAAGCTGAATTACACTATATAGTGATTCAATCAGTCCATTTATCATGTCAATGACTTATCAAGAGAAAACAGGGAAAGTATTGAATCAGTCAGAATGCATAAAAAAATGTGAAAATAGAGAAATCAAGGTACAATCTTCAATGTTGCAAGGAGCACAGTGCAAAACCTTTCATAGTTAGTTGCCTCTGACTTAGCCCTGGCAACAATTTGCCTCCCATCAGCTGCTAATCCTGCCACCGCCTGAAATTGGAATAATATTATGAACACAGATATTCAAATATAAGGATGATCAAAATTTTTTGGAGAAAAAAAGATTACTGTTTTCTTGAGCAATTATGCATTGGCCCAATGCTATATCCTAGTTATAATGACATGCCAGTTACATGAGTGCATTGCACCATATCAAAACAAGAAATTCTCCACAATTGCTTTTTTGTGACTTCCAATTACTCCCAAAGAGCAGAAATGAAACACAGCACACCCCAAAATCACAGTTAACAGTTATTTGTAGTATGAGGATAGGAATATAAAATTAAGTGCTATGATTATGAACCCGCAAGACCAACTTAATATGAACAATAATTCGCAGAAACACTAAAAGAACTCCATTTAAAACACTACAAGAACTCCAGTTAAGTAGTTTTAACCCCCAACCTTTATTCTAAAAAAGCATGAGTTTATGTGCATTCTTGGGAATTTGTTGTGAAGGTGCAAACTTGGACCCCACCCTCTTCAGGAAGTGCAGCTTCAAGCGTCGCATCAAAGAGTTTTGTGTTTTTGTGGAAAAGGGTGGGTATAAGTAGACATTGAAGCTGTTTGGATACCACTTGCTCTGGTGTTTTTAACCTTTAGTTTTAGTCCCAACAAAATCCAGTTCCAGTATATGCTACTTATCTAACAGAACTTCATTTTCTTCAATCACCATAACACACTCAACTATCACCATTTCTTTCAGCCATCTCTAGTGCTATGCAAGCTCAATCAGCCATCATCTAAAGAATCAAGGATTCTACCAATTCTCACACCACTTCACATGCTAGTCGAGGCCATCCTTAAATAAGAAGACATATAATAGAGGTCTCTTTCAGGTATGCACTCCATGGTTATTGCACCATTAAAAAGATTAAAAGGAACAAATAACAAGATGTGCAAAAACAGAACAGTCAGAACTAAAAGTAAATAGCACAGTACCATGCCCGAGTGGCGATGAACAGAGTGTATTCTTCTATTGGAACCAGGCAGCATCATCTTGGATGGAATAAGTTTCTCGACCCCCTAAAATTACGTTAACGTTGTAAAACAGAATAATACATAGATGCTGAAATCATGAGACCAACACGTTTATAAAATGCCTACCATCACAATTCCGTCCTTGCATTTGATACCAACAACAGTCCTGTAACAAAAGTTTCGAGAGTAAGATCCCAAATTTCTAGAATCGAACAAATCATGTTCTAGGCATCGGCAAAACCAGGAAAAAAAACCATCGTATTTACTTCTGAATGTCCAGTAACATGCATAAAAAGAAAAATCAAACAGTAGTGGAAGCAGCAGCCGTGTACCCGCTGTTGTCGACAGCTTTGGCGGCATACTCGATCTGGAAAACTCGGCCATCGGGCGAGAAAGTAGTGACTGAAAGATCATAACCTGTACCGATGCTACTCATGCTTCCCGGCGATCAATTGGCACTAAATCTTCGTCCCGATCGAAGTTCACTATGAGTCTCCCCGGGAGCCCTACAAGAGCATAGAAATAAGAGAGGTATTGCCTTTCTCCTCAAGAAAAATGGCGAAAAGTTTTTTTTTTTTTTTGGGCACGACACAAATTTTATGTGCTTTTACTCCCACTAAATTTAAAATTTTTTTATTTTTTACTGACATAAGCGGGACAATTAATTATTAATTAATTAAATCTATTTGTCATAACCAATCAAGCACACTACAATTTATCGATATTTCCTAAACAATCAACGGTTAAAAACTGGTGGCAAAAAAATCAACGGTTGAAAAACACACATGGTCCGTCAATCTCCTTTTTTTTTTTCGAATGAAAGAAGGATTTTATTAAAAACAGATATTTACAACAGGGGCAAGAAGCAGTAACGGCTTTGATGTTTTAAAAAAAATAAATCAGCCTAAGCGCAAGATCAATCTTTTTTTCTTTAACCAAGAGAAAACAATCATTCTCCACTAACTGGCTAAAACAAGATACAATCTTCATCAATCAACATTGAGATTTTTTAACCCCAGATAAAGAGACGCAGCCTAGAAACACAGTGCCACACATCTGGAAGACAAGCTTTGATGTTTCTGCTGCTGTTAATAACTTGATATAACGGCTTAATTCGTCTTGTATGATTAAAAAAATTGGTTTTGATCTCAAGTATAACACATATTTTTTTAATTTATTAATTTTTTAAAATTATCTTTAGTCATACTTTCTGAATAATAATTAAATAGGAGAGATATGAAGGGCATTAAAAAAAGATAATAATGGTACTTTATAAAAAATGTTATATTTATGCAAAAAAAAATGTTATATTTATCATAATTATTTAAATTACTTAAATTTTTAATCTAATTAAATTAATTAATACAGAGATATATAAATTATATGAAAATTATAATCATAACGAAAAAAAATTTCCTTAGTCCAAACAAAACCTTCTTGAGCTTTTCCGCCCTCCCCTGTAAATTCCATTTTTTTTCGCGGGTCCATCTCAGTTGTGAAAAATATGATTTCGGCCATTGTCTCCCCTGAAAATTCGAACTCCTAGAGATTAGATTCCCGGTGTCCTCCATTGACCGTGCTCGTGGGTCTACCGTCTGCATGCCTCCATGCCCACGGCAATACCCACAAGGTGACAGACAGCGTATCGAAATGGCCATGTAGGGTGGGGTTCGATCGGAGCGGAGGAGAGAATCATCTCCCACAGAATTCCTAGCTCCTAGTAGCAGAAGAGGATGGGAAGGGCTCGGCTGCTTGTTTCAGATTTCCTTATGTCTTTCATGTGGGTATGGTCTGGGGTTCTAATTAAGGTATTCGTCTTCAGATATTTGGGGTTGAGTCACCTGACCCTTCTTGAGGCTCTGAAGATGACGCTTTCCATTATAAACATGTTCTTTTTTGCATTGTTGGGAAAATGGACCCATGGCGGTGCCTACAATCCTCTCACAGTTTTAGCCGGTGCCGTTTCTGGGGATTTCAGCAATTTCCTTTTCTGCGTTGGCGCTAGAATTCCTACTCAGGTCAGCTTTTTATTGGGGTTTGTCTATCTAGCTCGGGGATGTGAAGATGATAATATGAGGGAAGGACCTGTGTAGTGTAGGTTTTCTGAAATTAATTAAGGCAATGTATCTGCAAGTATAAAATTGTATCAATTCATTACTGCTAGCATGCTTGCCATTATAATTGGATCATCTTTGATTGAAGCATTCTAGAGCTGATTAACAGAGATTTAATCAAACCTTATTAGTTCGAGTGAATGCTTGATGTATGGATGCCTTTTTGGCAAAGTCCCTTCTTTGTTGGTGTTTGATGTGTGCTCTCAGGATTTGAAATTTCCTGTTTGATTGTATGTTACTATTAGACAGTTGTGGCGGGCTAAAAAGTAGAAAACTATGGGTCGTGGATTGAAGGCTCTTATTCCGACACTTCTCTTTCCTTCTTTGTATGCATTTAATATATGCCTTCAGCGCCAGTCCTGGATTGAAGGCTATTATTCCGAATTTCTGATATTTTCTTGGTTTTGTCATTTTCAGGTGTTTGGATCTATTACTGGGGTTAGGTTCATAATTGCCACAATTCCTGAAGTAGGACGAGGACCGCGTTTGAGCACTGACATTCATCGAGGTGCTTTGACAGAAGGATTACTAACATTTGCAATTGTCATCATCTCACTTGGGCTTGCCTCAAAACTTCCTGGAAGTTTCTACAGGAAGACTTGGATTTCCAGCATTTCCAAGCTAACACTTAATATATTTGGCGCTGATCTAACTGGTGGTGTTATGAACCCAGCCTCTGTGAGTACTTTTTTCCTCCTCCATCTGTCTGTTACGTTCTGCAGAGAACTTCAACTACTGAAATCATTGAAAGAAAGACAAAACCCAATTCAGGCATATTTTAATGTATCAGTTATCAAATTTTAACAATTAAATTGACTGTTTTCATATAGTTTGACCTATTATGATGTGAGTTTCTAGAAGTTGTTCTCCACAAGCTCTATTTTTATTGGGGGTCCTGATAGTAAATTCCTAAGAAAGTTTCTCAGAATGTAATCCTGGAAAAATTACATTTGTTTGCTTCCTTTTTTTTTTTTTTTTTTAGTTGTCATCTGCACTTTGTTGGATCTCCTCAGGCTAACTTTGTTGGATCTCCTCAGGTAATGGGATGGGCCTACAATCGAGGGGATCATATTACCAAAGAGCACATCCTTGTATACTGGCTTGCCCCCGTAAAGGCAACTTTACTTGCAGTGTGGGTATTCAAATTACTAGTTAAGCCTGCAACACAAGAGGAAACCAGCACCAAGACTAAATCAGATTGATGAAACCTTATCCAGTGCTAATTCTCTGATTGCTTCTGGCTTTCAATTAACATACTTAAAGATTTGAGATTCTGTTGTGTATATGCATTCATCAGGTGGCTAACACGTGATCATCGTTCCATATGATTTGTAGTATAAATGATGCGTGCTCATTTGTAAGTGTCGTTATGGCTATGAGCCCTGCCATTTCTCTGACCGTATCAACTTAAGCCCTTGTACATTATTGTGCTTGCATAATGCGTATGAGCTTGTGTTCGTGGGTTTACTTGTTAAGCATGTCTTTGGATGTTTACATCAGCACTAACAAAGAAGCAGAGAATCCCTTTGACTATGAAAAATACACAAGTAAACTTCACATGAAAAAAAAAGGGGGGGGCAAAAAAAAAAAAAGCTAAGTTAGTGAAAAGTACTTGAGTAAACTTTACGCGGAAAAAGGGTTAAGGGCAAAAAGAAAATACTCGAGAATGATATTCTCCACTGTTTTGTCCTCCTTACTCTCTTCACCGAGAGATTAAGTTGGTACTGTTGGTGGTACAGGCACTCCGTACCGTTAATAGAGAACATTCTTAAATCCTGAACTCAAGGTGGAAGAAGAGAAAAGCAAAACAAGAACAGTATTGTCGTAAACTTATCCGAACAACATGGATCCATTATCTTGAACTCAAGGTGGCATTTACGGCTTACAACTAACACTCGTCGAACCTTTAGAGTAACTTTGTGCAAGTTCAGCCTCTGCAGTACAACATTGATGGCACCAATGAACTTGCGTTTGGCCTATTTGGATCCAATCATAAGGCACTGATTGCTGTAGAAAGCTTGGCTTGTAGCTTAAGTTTGGCTATTTCTTTTATCAGCTTCCTTAACTGAACTTGTTTCGTCCACTTCAGTGGACCTTTGAGCGGATTTTCTGCATTCATCTTCAGCATGGGGGATTTGCCCAGATTCTGCCAGTTCATGTTCATTTGAAATGCTTTCCAAATTTATCGCCGAGGTATCAAAGCTTTGTGCTGCGTCTTTCACATCTTCTTCAACACTGTAGAATGGATCAAAAGAAGATCGTCCCTCTAGATCTGCAAATTTCATATCATCCTCCAGTTTATCAAAATCAAAATTCTGCAAAATTTCAGGGATTGGGAAACCACCATCCTCGGCACGCATAGATCCTCCTAATTCAATGTCAATCTTCTCCTTTAGGTTCATACTTCCCTCAATATTTGGAATCACAGAACCAGCCATCACAGGTTCATCTACCAGCACAAATGATCGGAAGTCGTTCTCCGAAAAGGGTATTTTGGAGCAAAGTGTTTCCTTAAAATTTCTCAGAATTCCCTTATTGTATGGATTTTCCTTCTTATCATATTGATAACGAAAGTTCTCATAAGTTGTCTGTATGAAATCAAAAATTAAATGCATAATTAGGATTGACAACAGCATCTATCGTTTTGGGGGGGGGGGGGGGACATACGCACAAGACTGACAATAATCTAGTTATTATAATCAACATGAAAAGAAGCAGATCCTATCTGTAATGTAACTAAATGAAAGCTGACTTAAGATAAGCACAAAAATATGATAAAAAGAAACGATCATGGTTCAGCTTAACTCTCTGAAAACAGAATTATAACTATAGCATTGTGCGTTCATGGAATCAACTATATTGTATGGACAGGCTCACCATGAAGACAGCATTAATGATCGAGTAAATACCATGCAATCACATCCATTGTTAAAGCTTAAAATAATTGAACTTTCAGAGGCCGCAACGAAACCTCGCTAACTCGGAAAGGAGAAAATGATAAACGAGAATAAACAGGTATCGGTCAAGTTGCTAAGACATCTTAATTTAAAATGCTGCTAATTGTTACTCCATGCGATACATAAAATGGCCGTAGCCATAGCAGTATAGACTTTACGCTTCCAACTAACTGAATTAGCCAAACAAGCAAGCCATAGCAAAAATTATTCCTCTAGCACCTGAACAATAAATTGAGATGGATCAAGCATCTTAAGTGATTGGAGTATTGGACCTTATTTACATTTTGAGTAAGATGGTCACCTGATTTGTGCAAATGAGGTACAAATGGAAAGCTGTGAGGCCCCCAACAAACCAGACTGCTATGAAACAGTATATTATGAGAAAATCTGACACATAGTCTTGTGTTATTGCCTTCACAAGGTTAACACCACTCAGGGCAAGATTGATCCAAGAAAACACAAAGACATATATGCACAAAATGGTTGACGTTGAAATAAACATGAAGAAGAACCGATAGTTTCTCTGCAGTTACAAAAACATAGTCAACTATTAGTCTAATAATGACGGTAGTCAACTGTTAGTCTAGTAATGATAATCACTCAAATAAATTCAGATAATTAGGAGCGTATATTTTTTAAAATATTTTTTATTAGTTTGCAAATGGCATAAAAATGCAACATTGTACTTCAATGATTCTAAACTTAGGTCCTCTGCATTTCTTCCCTAGCTGCACAGGGTAAATTTGGAGAGTGCTGTGGGGGTCCAGTTCAAAACGTTGTTTAGCTTCATTTTTTGCAGGATAGTGAACTTACTATTCCAATGCACTGACCAACCCAGGGGCAGTGATGATCAAATCTCTGGACACAGTTGTTACAAATGGAACAATGAGAACAACGAGGCGGGCGGTAAAGCAAGCATGTGTCGCAGAACTTCACTTTAACTGTGTGGCCATTAACTGTTACATCTCTAGTACGAGGCAGTTTTAGTTGAGGGGTTGTACCATTAATCCATTCCATGGAAGGGGTAGGCAAATCAAAGGCTTCATCTGACTCCGGGGGCCTTGTATTCCTGGGGACAATTCCCGGATCTCTTCCAGAGGTCAGGAAGAGGAATACTAAGTCCTGCATGCGAGTTTTGCATGGTATAAGCTTTTACTTTCAAATTAAGAAAGGAGGTCTCATCATAAGCTAGAAGGAAATGGTAAAATGCCAAGGATCAAAGGTAATTCAATAATGAGCAAGAGAATGAAATATTGCCACGATGTTTATAGAGTCAACAGAAAAAGGTGGAGATCGGAATTCGAAGATAGGGAGGGAGGAAGGGGTAAGCAAGTAGGCAAAAAGAAAAACAGATTATCATGGGATGATAACTTATTCCAGTAAATTCCAAAAGCTGTCAGTCTAAAGGCGGATGTAATGAGAACTTACCAAACTAGTGAGAATTAAGCATGTAGTCAATACGGAATACTGATATGCATCACCGGGGTTCTTAGTATCTTTAATATTAATATATATCTTCACACAAAATGCAATTGCAGGTCCAGCAACTAGTAGTGTGGTGAGAAATAAGGAAGCTACATCAGGGCCAAAGACAATTCTGCCACCACAAAAAAATCTCTGGAAGAAAGGCAAGAGAAAGCTAAATCAGTGAAGTAGGACATATACAATATTGCTTCTGAACGTCCATCGTAGTTCAATAATATACATTGCGTGTACTCCATTTACCATAACTACATCAATGTTTTCAGATGGAAGATGTTTTCAAGTTCAAAATATACATAACCATGCCATAAACTAGGAAAATGATATGCGATCGGAGGAAAACTAAGTGAAGACTTCAAATTTAACTGGCACCCAAACTACTTTAAAATATAACAACACCATGGATTCACAATTAACATCGTGAATATTAATTTATTAAAAAGGCTTTATATGTTAGTCAAGAATCACTGTTGCATAATCAGTCAACTATCTTTTACTTTCCCAGGAAATGGGACTCGTATTAACACACCAGTGCTTTCCAATCAGATCGATAAGTTGTGTTCGTAATCCATTACTCTACTGCGAGAAAAGAAAGTTGACGTCTTGGCGAGGGGAGTCCAAAAAATGCAGTATTCTCATTATAATGAAATTAAAAAAGAAAGAGACAAGAAGCAACAAATCAACACAAAAAGCAGAACAAAACAAAAGGCATAGAAAAAACTCACGTTACTCCCCCTCCATACTTGGTAAAGCCTCTTGCGTTTCACGTTCTGGGCCATACTGCCAGAAGGAGTAGAAGGCCCCATCTGCCGATTCCTGCTCTCAACCTAAACTAACTTCTCCCAACACAAAACACATGTCGAATTCCAATCATCCAGCTTTGAAACAAGAAGCCGTCAGAGACGTTCAAATTCTTTTCGCAGCTGTCGAATCAGTGTACTTGAGAATCAACAATAAAATTGACAATGCAGATAAGAGAGAAGAAAAGGACGGTGTGGGATCAAAATCGAGAAGGCGAGCAAGGAAATATTCTTGGAGAAAGATGATGTACGCACACAAGACGAACTTTGGTTGTCCCTTTCTGTCCAGGAAAGGTGATGGCAGCTTGGAGGATAATTGGGCGGGCGGACGTTCCAATTCTCGTGGGGTTCACGCGCTTCGTGATTCCCTCATTCCCGCTGGTCCTAGTCTGATTCTGTTTACAAAAACGACATGTTAGTAATGTATAGTGGGGCGGCACAACCTGGCCCTTTTTATTTTTCTAACCATTACGTGCTCGCACAAACTCAACTCTGTTATTTTTTCCCCGTCACGCACAAATTAAAAAGTGTTTAAATAAAAATTAAATCATAGTTTTAAAAATAATTTTATAATACATAAAGTAAGTATATGGAAAGAATTCTGCTTTTAAAAAGTGTTTTTACTTTTTAGAGGCATACAAACACCCCTCAATTCAATTCGACTTTGACGCGTTTTTTTTTTAATTTCTGGCTGTTTTTATTTTTATATTTTACTAAACAAAAACCACTTCATATGTTTATATTATATATTTAAAATTATTTGAGGAATATAAATATTCTTCAAAATTAATTTGATAAATTAAATTAATCGTTTAAGGATGTAAAGTATTATATTTCTTGTATCTGGATATAGGGTTATAAAAAATTTTTATCTTTCAAATTTGTCCTCATTTTGGTTTTGGTCCCTTAAATTTTTTTTATTTAAAATATTGGTCCCTATAATATAATAAAAATCTAGACCATTTTTCTCTTAAAGAGGCTAGAACATGTGGTTTGAAATTTGAGGAACTATAACTAAAATGAGGACAAATTTAAAAAATTAAAGATTATATTAATCCTTATATATATTATTAATTTTGGAGGTTCTTTTTCATTTGAAGTTTTTATGTGAAAAATTTTTGAAATTTGTATTCTAATTTTAAATGAAAAGTTTCAAAAAATAAAAATTTCTTTTTTTTTTGCTAAAGCACAGGTATCTTCTATTGGAGACAATCTTGTTTGAAGCACTGTCGGGGCACTAAATGTGAACACTCTCTTAGTGGGGATTTGAACCTTGTTCGTTACATTATGAGGAATTAACTTCTTCTGCTAGACTCAACCCTATTGCTAAATAAAAATCTCTTTTATTACACTTGGACGAATCTAAAATGATTGTTGTAGTTTGGCCCCAAAAAAAAAGATTGTTGTTGATAGCCGCACGGCAAGTCTATAATAAACTGGAATGGGGAGGTATATGTTATTATTATTTAAATAAATTTAAAAGCTCATGGTTCATAATTTTCATTATCCTGAGACAGCTTATATCCTGCTGTCCAATAATACTATGTTTATTAATGCCAAAAAAGATAATCTCTAGTTTATGTATGTGTGTGGTTTAATAGAGATAGTTTATCAACAAGAACTTGACAGCTTTGCATATTTATGCCTTGTCTTACCTCACGGTAGGTCACAATTACATACTTCACATTTATTTAACAAATTTGTCAAAATTGTTTTTTAATATTTACGTTTCAATTTTTTTAATTTGCGTATTAAATTTGTAATGATTAATGGACAGGCGTCTTGTGGCAATTTAACAAAACACAGAGATGCTGCTTAAATATTTTGACCCCAAAAAAAAAAAAGATGCACCCTGAAGCGTGGCTGGCATTTGGCAGTATTAACCGGGCTGCAGTGGTCGACAACAATGCTGAGCACCGGAAATATCATTACATCACATGTATTAAAATGTATTGTAAAATGTACTGAATAAAAAATCTAGTTCTCTTATGGGTGCCAAAAAAAATTCTGAAAAAAAGCTGAAATCTGATAATTACACAAAACTATTGTAATTTAAAAGTTGTGTTTTAATATCTTACTGTTGACTGCTGAGAATTGGACAGCAAAATAAAAGAAATAATATTCGACAACGATAATAATAGTAGTAATAGTAATAATAATTGTCTAAACGTCGTCCTTAACTACAAGAAACATGACAGCTCAGTTGAAAAAAAAAAAAATCAAAACTATTTGTGTTCGTTTAAAATAAAAGGATTAGATTTTATCTTTAAAAAAAAACTTTTTCAAGATCATTGATTTTTTTTTAAAAAAAAAAACCTTCGTCGAGCTTGTATCCTAGAAATAAATGTTTTCTTGATTAAGCTGAGCGGTGAATTGCATATTAACGGATCAGAATCACTAGTCATTAGACATCTTTTTTGTCTCCTCTTCCTGTCCTTTGCATTCAATGGAGGCTAATGGGTAGAACCCATGAACAAGAACCACACGCATGGAGATCACCCACAAATATATTACCTTAAAAAAGGGACAGCCTAAACCCATGCATATATATATATATATATATATTATTCGTAACAACAAAATCTCAATTCAAAAATATATAAAATCTGATGGGGGTTTAAAATTTGTAATAAGCTTGAATTAAAAAAATATGAACATTAGGCATCTAAGAAAAATAATCAATGTAAAATTTTGATCATTTCAAATTCAGACATCCAGAATTTGAACAAGCATAAGAGTTTATGAGATGGACACATTCGAATATCTTCTTTGCAATGGCTTCATTGTTTCGTACGTAGTTTAATTAATTTTCTTGATAGATGATGACGACGAACCAAACTCTGAAGAAGAATATGGAGTCTTTGTAACCAGTTCATTGATAACTCTTTCATTATTTCGATCAAAATATTATTGTTGGTTCGTTGTGAAGTTTGTTTTTGACTGTTATATACTGCAGCATTTGGGAAAAAAATTCTTATATAAACTCAACTGAACAAAAAGAGGAACAACATTGTCCACATATCAAGTAGTAGTTTTTTGTCCTTCTCGAAAACCCCATTCTCAACATGCAGGTGGGAATGCTTTTCATAGGTTTGGTTCTGATCTACCAAAATACTGTAAACAGAATCTATATTTTCCTTGATATCCAAACTACAAAGACAAGCGAGAGCTGAAGTTTCTTCCCAGAGAACCCAGGAAGAGGTAGACCATGCATCATAGTTGTAGCTCTCGCATGTCCCGCAATGTCATGAGTTGGATGAGCCAATTTACAGTAACTTGTCAATCTTAAGCTTTCATGCAGAGGACAGAGGAATGAATGACTTCGCTATCATGTAGACTTTTCATCTCATTCTCTATTCATAACCATATTGTCACCTCACTTATCTGCAAAATCTGAATTCTAAACATTAAAATACACTACCCACAAATCACTTCACGTATGCGCGACTGGACTTGCATCATAAAACGGTGAGGAAGTATTGTCACAGTAAGGTAATCCTACATTGCAACTAGGGAAGAGGAAGAAACCTAGGAAACCTACCCCTTCCCCTTTTTGATGTAAAACCTGAATCTAAATCACTACCTTCGGCTGTACTACAAAGTAAATTTTATGTTAAGAACTGGAAATAGTAATATCAATCACCTTCGATTCTAACTATAAGACCTCGTATATAATCTACAAACGATGTCTTATAAATAAGAATAGAAGAATCTTTTCTTTCTGAAATAAAAATAATTTGTTCTTTGAGACAAAAGAAAACAAAGCACAAAACAATCATTCCAATGAGAAACTGGTTCATTAGTTATGATAACAATCTAACGAGTTGATTATTGAATAGTTGGACCTCAGCGTTAGTTCTTAGAATTGTTGAATGCATGAGTTAGTCTCCACTCTGAAAATCACAAACTCACTGCTCGCTAGTTTCCAACATTCTTGGCCACTTGACGCAACAACTAGTGGACAATAATTTTTTATTTTTATTGTTTTTAGGAACTCATGCTCACTAAATTTCGAGAGCTCAAGGCAATTAGGCCTACCAGCACAAACTTAGGAGCTATTAATCAGAAGGAGACAATTCAGGAGTAATTCCTTCATCCTCATGAAACAGGAAATTATATTTATCAGGATTCAGGATAAGTCCTTTAGTTTATATGCTATAACAATTTCAGCAAATTGATCTTGGACTGCTCTTGTGTTGCAGCAATCAATGCGAGAAACCAATTTGAAAAGGATTTTACAAGTTATGGATCATTACCAGAAAACATCCCAATTTCTCATTAATAATTGACTGTTTAGAAGAATATATACATTAGTGCTCCCCAGAGGGCATTGCTACAGACAGAAGCAAACGTCAAAATGCTACCTTTGTCTTTGAAGAACCCAGCTATGTAATATGCAGGAGCTACTGGTCCCGTTTATCATGTCCAGCATCTACTCCTACTTTGGAATTCCATCGTGAATTTTTTGATTCTTGATCAGCATGAACGAAAATGCTAAATGTCGCTTCTTTATCTTTTGCCTTCTTCAAATTGTCAATGTCATTGTAATCCAAATCTTGTAAAATACTTGGAAGTCTCCTGTCACCATCCTTGCCACTCTTTGTTCCCGTGTCCATGTTAAATTTTTGTTTTGAGTTCATAAAGCTTTTTCCAAGATCTGAAGTAACGGATTCACTTTCTGTATCTTCTTCTGTAACCCAAGCTCTGAAATTGATCGCTGAAGGTGGAATCTTTGAAAGGGACAGTTCTAAAAAGTTCTTGATTATTCCCCGTCTATATGGGTTTTCCTTCTGATCATAGCGGTACCGGAAATTCTCATAAGTTGTCTATAAACAAGAAAGAAACACCAAATGCCAACAACACATGAGAATAATATAGATTGTGGGTCTCAACAGTCAAGACTCAAGACATGTATAATAGGGTCGAATTTGAGAATTACGTATACAATGAACACCAGAGGCAAAAGTAATAGAACACAGAAGTGACAGAACATGTGTCCAAGAACAAGTATAGAAGCGTCTTTCATACCTCGATAAATCTTCCTTGGAAAATAGCAAGAAGTTTAATCAATAATTTATCTCTATTTCGTGGACTATTGTTATGGTTCTATGGTTTATGTCCCACCGCATATGATATAATAGCAGACATTCAAAAGAAAATAGTCACCAAACCACAAGGTCTAGCTTAGCTGAAAATTTGTGTTTTCTTCTTTTTTAAATCAGCACATTAACAATTTTTTCCCTCTCGAATCGGACTACAGTAGAGAACAGACAAGGATGATCAGATGCATGCGTCGAAATAATAGCAGCCATTAGAGGAAAGAAGACCCAAAACAGAAGGAGGAGCAAGAAGAATACCTGGTTGGTAGAGATCAAATAAAGATGGAAAACTGTAAGCCCGCCCACAAACCAGATGACTATGAAGCAATATACAATAAGAATAATTGATATAGCATCGTGTGCCATGTTGTGCCCAAACTTGCCCTTCTTCCGACCGATGTTAATCCAAGAAAAAACAAATACATATATACACAGCAAGGTTGTTGATGATATGAACAAAAAGAAGAAGGGATAGTTTCGCTGCAACAACATGAAGAGGAGAATCAGTTTGTTTTTTTGGCCTGAAGAGGAGAATCAGTATTATGAGAAATAACAAACTGCAAACAGAAGAAACAAAAGAGACTAATTGAGTTATCTAGCCATATCTAAGACTACTTCTGAACCCATGCTCAAGAATTGCTGATTAAAAAAAAAAAAAAAACTTTCCTTTTTTCTTTGGGGAAAACTGGCAGGAAAAGAAGTAGTGCAGATGAACAGATGGATACGAAAAGAAGTTCTTTCTTATATACAACAAAGCTATAAGTGAGGGCAAAGAATTAACCAGCACAAGCTATAAGACGGATAAAATAAAAAATTACAGGAGGAAAACAAAAGCGACCTTTTCTTTTTGTTTTTAAAAAAGTAATGTTCCTAAATAGCATTAAATTTGAATTCGATGAGATTGAGGGTGGGCTTTGGATAACTTACAGCTGCAATACACTGACCAACCCATGGGCAATGGTGATCAAATTTCTGTACACAGTTGTTGCAGATGGAGCAATGTGATGCCCGCGGTGGACGATACAGCAAGCAAGTATCACAGAACTTCACTTTCACTGTATGGCCATTGACCTTCACATCCTTCATTCTAGGTAATTTCAGACTGTTGGAATTATAATTTAACCACTCCATAGATGCTGAATTTATGTCAAGAGCTTCATCTGCTTCAAGTATACGTGAATTTCTGGGGATAATTCCTGGATCTCTACAAGAAGTCAAGGACAAAAAAGTAAAAGCCTGCATCATGCATTCAAATGTCAGATTCACATATCAAGGGTAGGCAATGTACGCATTATTGCCAAGAAAATTTCCTAGTTTTACCAACCAAAAATGTGAGAACCAGTCCTCCAATCAGTACAGGACGACTAAAGTGAGGATCATCTCTAAAAGTTAAAAGCATTCTTATGCAGAACAACAGTGCAGGACCTCCAATCATGAATGTTGTTAGAAAAAGAGACTTTGCATCTCGACCAAAGACTAATCGCCCCCCACATAGAAATTTCTGACAAGGATAATTAAGAGAAGCTTCATCAGAAACTGCCCATATAATATCATATCGGCATGTTAATTAAAGAAAAAGAAAGTTCATCGACTTGCAAATCATCAATGTCATCAACATCAATATAATAAGAAATCTACAACAAATTGCACTGTTCATAAAAATAATTCCTTCCGTGTCTGCTAGCTGCATTCTTAAACATCATTCGTGCCATGAGGAGGAAACCAATTCAATTTCAAAGGAGAGATAGAGGACTAAAAAAGGTACATTGTTTCCCTTCCAAACTTGGTAGAGCCTCCTGGGTTTAGGCTTCGAAGGTTCAACAGCCACGGCCAAAGGATCGGAGGGAGAGTGGCTGTTGCGGCTACTCATAACGGCAAAAATTCCCAGACGACGGCCAGATCGTTGTGATTGTGCAATGATCTCCTTTCTTTCGCAAAAACCCACACCACTTGCGTTGTTGGGAATGGGCGGGTTTTCGTTTCCCCCCGCGGGTCAGCGAATGAAATGAGATCAATTGGCCATAGCTTTGGGAATTTTCTTTTCTTCTTAATTTACATTCCTCTCATTCTTACAAATCTCAGCCACCCCCTCTGGTTATCTCTCATCTCCGTCTCTCTCTCCCTAAAGAAACCAGCACCAGTCCTGGCGCCTTCCTGTTCCCACCGCTTTTTTAGCGGGCACAACTATTTTAGAAATCAACTCAGAAAGTTTTCTAAAACCATATCAAAGATTCTTTTTACTGACTCTTATTCTTCTTCCCCCTCATCACCACGGTTTTGTTCGTTTTCCACATTAGCTGTTCATTAATCATTATATGCTTAACGTTGTCCGCTCCTCGTTGATGGTTTCTCGTCCTGAAGCCAATATCACGGTCCTGATCTGTTAAACAGGTTCTGTTAAACAGCTTTTGTTTGGGGTTTTCATTTTATTTTATATAAGTAGAATCTAAATATTGTTCGTATCCCTTTTGGTCTTTTACTAATTATTTTTTAGATTCTGATAATTTTTTACATTGAAAAATAATCATTAGTGTTTACTTAAAAAGCACTATTATTATTTTTGCTTTCTATGACTTTTTATTTAATTGATTAATAACGTAATACTACGATTGTTATTCACAACGAAAAAGAGAAGTTTACTGTTGCTAATCAAGGATGAATAAAATTAGAAAGATAGACGTAATAAGATTTTTCTAAAAAAGTATCTATTGCATTTTTAGTATTAATTAGCTGATTATTCAACAATGTTACTTTTTATTATTGTTTAAATAAAAACATTTTACCCTGTTATTATTTGCTTTTCATTAGAAGCTTTACTTACCAAACCTCCAATAATCAATTTGAATCTTCCAATTAAAAAAGAGAGGAAAATATTAGTTTTATTTATTCCTGACAACAAAAACAAATCACAATCCCAAGTCCATCCTCACACTTCACAGCTCTTCTTCAGAAAAACCTAAAAGCATCCCAGCGGAGGAAGAGATACAGCATTACACATGATTTGTGTCCTGAAAGAGTTTAAATTTACAACCTCTAAGTAATATTAATGAACAACCTGATCTTTCTTGTTCCAATTCGCTGGCGTTGTCTGGGGGGGAAAAGCTGGTCTATGCATGAACTAAGTATGAACTCAAATATTACATCTTCCTGTTCCAGCTGAAAAAGACGACAACGGCTTGGGAGAGATTCTCCTTTTATTCTCTCCATTTTCGTTTTCTTCTTCTCGGGTCTTCCTTCTTTCTGAAGCAGTATATTTCAATCTCTCCTTTATGATCTTAGTTTAGCTTCTTCTCTGGTCTATGCATGAACTAAGTATATTTGAACGCATCCAGTTTAGTTTTAGTTCCTGCTTGCGCCATTTTGTTGTGGAAGGTCAAGGAAAGGGAAAGTACCAATACCTAATAAACAAGATAGTCAATACAGAAACTAAAAGACAAACCATTTCCATACTTAAAAAAGCTTCCATATCAGAAAATCAGTAGATATGCAATCAACAAAAATATCCCCTGCATTTCACCGATCCACAACGGCATTCCTTTTTCTTGTGGCTCTCTGTGAGGGGCTGAACTATCCCATAATCATAAGTTAACTCTGTCATAGGAGGGATGTGCCTGATTGCATGAAAAGCAACGTGGAAATCAGACTGATCTGTATTTGTGCGTAAAATGGGACGCCAGAACACATTTGGAGAGCAACTATGGTTCATGAAGCGAGCGACATTTCCATTATTTCTCGCAGTTATATAGAGTGAATCTGGAATCTTAGTTGCTTGAGTGTCACCAGGAAAGATTTCCAGTTGCTGATAACAGCGTGTAGTGTCAAAAACATAATAATCATCGTCATTTTCACCACCAAGTTCCTCAACTCTGGCATTGTCTATGACTTCTCCTACATACTCACATATAAAAGTTCCTGCACGAATAGGATCCCAGGATCTTAGACCCCACCCTTTATCCTTAGTCTTGAAAACCTCCAAACGAAGTTTCAATCCACCTTGTGAAATTCGGTTTCGACAACTAGGAGGGCACTGGCAAGAAGGACCACACTCATAGATCACAGACTTCAGGTCCGTGAGTACCCCATTTGCAGAATATGGCAGACAGCCCCCATTTTTTTGAATGCAAGTACAGCTCAAATTACTGGGCAGGCATCCACCAATGCAGTTACAACCAGTAGATGGTTCCGCAGGATTTGTTGGTTTCAGATTCTTAAGAGTATTACAGTAAGTGAAACATGCGGGATCCTTCTCATCATCAACACCATTTACAAGACAAACAGGTAAATTTTCTGCTCCAGAAGTAAGATCAGGCAATATAAGCCCGGATCTCAAGGTAGACTTGTCAGCCCATTGCTGAATTGCTTTCCATATCATATATCCTTCAGGCTGCCCAGGCAACCTGACTAATCTATACTTAAACACATTGAAACCTGATTTTCCCTTCTCCACCCAAGATTCTTGGATCTTGTAAAGACCATCATAGACATATACCTTTGTTCTGGAATTCATAGACTCCTTTAGACCCCTTGTGACTCTTACTTCATTACCTCGATGCAGACTCTTTTCTAATGCAAGATTCCCCCTTTCAAGCTTCTGATCACTCTTTTCTTTACTCTGGCAAGCCCCACCTTGGCCACTGTAAATCAGCACATCCCCATCATCAACATTATCTTCATATCCTCCAGATGATATGACGCTGATTGCTAATGGCTCGTCCTCCTGACTAACTTTGACGCCCATGTAATCAATTCCAGACATGGATGGAGCATGCAATCCCACCACGCATAATTCCATTCTGAAATAAAAAATATCTCCAACTTGAACACCAGGTACAGTTCCAACACGTCTCTCTTTATTAGTCCTAAGCCCTTTGCTCAACATAACAGTTCCTGCTCTTAAATCAGATCGCTTCACGACTACTCCATCCCCTTCTTTTGCCTCTTCAATTTGTGCGATCTTTCTTCTCAGTATTTCATATATCATTAGTGTATATGCAACTGAGTCCTTCCCACTGTCAGGTTGATGTAATGTATCCAAAACTAAAGGATTGATTGATTTGAGAATATCATCAACCACCTTATCTTCATCGACATCAGCTGACGCAGAACCACCATCCTGCTTTCCCTTCTTCTTCTTCTTCGCCTGGGAGCTGCTTCCTTCTCTTTCACCTCCATGCATCTCATTTGTAGAAGATGGTGTTCTAATTGTACTGATTGGAACTGCTCTCGGTATCTGGTTTTGTGGGTTTTGATGAGAGAGCGTCTGGGAGTCCAGCGAGGAGAAGAATGGATAGAAAGGAGCCATCCCAGGTGGAGAAATAGAAACAAGAGGAGAGCCAACATGAGGTGTTGAAGATGAAGAAAGGTTCGGTCGTGAAGGGAAAACAGGAACAAGAGCTCGCAATGGCTTCACATTCAAAACCATGGACTTGTCATCTGAGCTGGGTGCCGGATGAATAGAGTCTTGATCCCATTCCATATCTGTGTTTTGCAGCAGCAGAAATACTCTCTTCTATAATATTTCCTCCCCAAGTTTAATATTCATACATCTCTGTGCACAAAAAAAGGAAAGGCATGCAAGCAAACATTAAAGAGCGCAAAAATGGGGGGAAAAAAAAACGTATTACCAACATGAATGGCGAAAATTAAAGCAGAAAAGTGCAAGCAAAGCAATTGGAATATGCATGCACAAGCCATGGAATTTTCTGAATAACCGGCCACGATGAAAATCATAAACATGAACGACAAGATAACAAGTGAGAAAGCTATCCGAGAGAATAATGGAAAATGGATTGAAATTAGAGAGAGCACGTAAACTTCATCTTTAGAATTTGAAAGAGAGACGAAGGTGCGTTAACAGATCTGAGAGTATAATATGTGGTATGAAACCGAGTGGGGATATAAATTCCGTAACATTTGTGAAAGAGTAAAATTAGAAGGACATAGCCAAAGAGTAATGAAGCGTGCCTGAAATGGGTTTTGGCAGATGTTGTTTCCAAGTTTCAACTCGTACGTCGGAGTTCATTCATGTATCTTTCCCAAACCGTTCTGTGCGTGATGAGGATTCATGGGAGAGTGAACGTGTGTTTTCTCGCATCAAGTGAAAATTGAGGAGAGAAAAATAAGGAGAAGTAAGGTCATTTTTATTGATTATTAACAATAATCATTTATCGATGTAGATTTTATGCAATTTTATCAATCTCCTTTTTTATTTCTGTAATTTCACTCATAGTGAAAGTCGTTAGTTTTGGTGGCGTCTCATACGAAGAATAGCTAGGGGATTTTGAGTGAGTTAATTTTTTTGTTTTTTGGGTCAACGTTGAATAATGATGAGTAATAATGAGTTTAGGTTCCCTCGATTAATGAGTCGCACTGACAAAAAAAAACAAAAGAAAAATGGACTTGATAGGAAAAAAAAAATGGAAGGACATAATTTATAGGATGAAAAAAAAAAAGAGAATGCTTCGAAAGTAATTCTTATTTTTGTGCTTAATAGAATTAAATGATGATAAAAAAAGTATAAAATATATATAGTAAACTTATATGCTCATAATCTAATTAAGGCTAATATATATATAGTAAACTTACATGCTCATAATCTAATTAAGGCTGGCATGCATATAAAATTTATTAAACCTCACTGTTCACAACAATTCTTTAAAATTTTACATGATGCAAAAAAAAAAAAGTTGTTTTCTCTATTTCAAAATGCATAGAAAAATCCACTCAAAATAAAGAGATGTTGTACATTATAAACCCCGGACGTGTTTTTTTTTTTTTCATAATGTTAGATTCCAATTTTCAACTAATTAAAACAAATTGCTGAAAAATCAACAAAACTGTTGCTTGGGTCTTGCCAGCATTTTTTTTTTAAAAGCACAGATATTTTCTTACTAAAGACCAGATACTAAACATAAGCATTTCTCCTAATAAAAATTTAAATCTTACTTCGTCTCATCATGTTTCCCAGCTTTAACAAATCTATTGCTAGTGTGTGATAGAATGGGCCAAGTAATGCATAAAACCTACTAAGAATAGACTCATAAGCCCACTTGGGGAATAAAGGAGCTTTGTTTGCCATGAAGGAGAGATGAATTCAGCTGCGAAAATGACAGTAAGTCAGGCTAAAATGATAACAGAAAGAATGAAGCGCGGTGCGCAAAATCTCTGCAATTGGGAATGGTCAAATATTGTATTCTTACATTTCAGGCCAACAAAAAAAGTGTTGTGTTCTTGCTTGCAATGACGGCGCCTCAGAAATCGCCCCTTGAAATTTGAAGAAAAAAACACCAACCTCACATTGCAGGCTCCATATTTAGAAAACAAAACCACATAAGTGAAGGAATCGGATGATTCCAATTCCAAATACTCAAATAATCAATAATCAATAATATTCCTCCGGTCCTTATTATAAGACCCAATTTGACTTTTTATTTGGTTCTAATTATAAGACCCAATCCATTTTCTCTCTTATATTTATGCATTTTTTCTAAGATAATCCTTCTAATAATGATAGTTTTAGCCAATATACTTAATTAGCAAGGATATTTTAGGAATAACAACACTTATTTATTATAAATAACCAACTTAACTTACTTCCTTAATCTCCTCAAATAAGTCAATTGGGTCTTATAATTAGGACCGGAGGAGTAACAATAATACCGGCACCATGGCTTGATAACAACTGATCGCAAAATTATCGGCCTGTATAATTATTTGGTCCGATCACAATCCAGCTGTGATCGAATTATTTCATCATAAATATATTAATGTATATATTTGTGGTTTTATATATAATTATACTATATAAAAATAAGGGGAAAAATCAACTTTTACCAGTTTATGAATGGTTTATCAATTTTGATTATTTTTTGACTAATATTCAATTGCGCCGAACCCGAAAATGTTACCAAAAGAAAAATAATTCATTCTTACCATTTCCATCGGTGAATTTGGCCAATTTATCTCCCTTCTATATATCAATATTCTTTTTTTTAAAACAATATTCTACAGAAAGCTTTATATATAGATATCAAGTAATTTTCCAAAAATGTTTACGGAAGTGTTTGGATGAAATCAAAATCATGGTTTTAAAAATATTTTTACAGTATATAAAATAAATATGTAAAGGGATTTATTTTGATTTACGAAAAAATATTTCTGAAATTTTTTTTTTCAGATGTCCAAATACACCTTACATAACTTAAGGGATGGTAACAATATTTTCCAATCTATAAACAAGTGGACAAGTAATTGATAATTTCGAGGAGGAAAATTATCGGCATTGAAATCTAAAACCATTGCCTAAACCGTTATAATATCTGAGTACACGAGAGATGACCGGAAACAAAAAATTGCGGGAAGTTTTGTCTCGTAAGTTGCGTGAATAATAAAATATACATAAATATAGCACAGTGTTGAAGAAGAAAAAAAATAAATTATTGCGAAATAGAGTCAGCAAGAAGGAGCACAGATGCGCTTCACTTTCTCTGGAACCAATGATTTTAATCAGATTCACCACAAAATCCATCGGCATCGCGATGTGACGTCGTTTCGCACCCCTCCGAGCTTAGTGCCAGTAGTGCCTCCACCACTACTCTTCCCACTCCTTTTCTTCCTTGTTCGCCGAAAGCACCCAAACCAACCTTCACCAGTCCTCTGCCCTATTTATTCGCTCTTTAAATTCCCTCAATTCCCCTCTTTCTCGCCCGCATTCGTGTACGGTCCTCCTTGTCTTCATCTCAATTTCCATGGAACAAGAGCCGCTTCTGCCGACTGAGGATCTTCGCCGCACTCGCGGGAGTAATCCCATGCTCCGCTCCTCCACCTTACGCGCCACTTTCACCCTCCCCTTAACTCGCTACACCACCCGCCTGATCGCGGCGGAGCACCACCGGATTTTCCTCGGTGATTGTACGGAGAACCCAGCGGAGGACGACGATGACCGACCCCTCGAGGATAGCAGTTGCGCCTATTCGAGGCCCATTTTGGTTCTGGACCTTGTATGGAACCTGGCCTTCGTACTGGTCACTGCTGGTGTACTTCTTTCCACATTTGGCGAGCATCCGTCCACCCCTTTGAGGCTTTGGCTCTGTGGGTATGCCTTTGAGTGCCTTCTGCATATGGGTTTTGTGTGTTTTGAGTATCGTCGGAGGACTCGAGATTTTTACGGTGCTGAGCTTGGGCTTTCCTTTTGCCAGAGTTGGAACAGGTATTCAGTTTCTTCTCAGATTTTCTAGTACGAACAACATGTTATATCAGTAGAAGATAAATTAATAAATTGAATAAAATAAGCCGATCCAAATGGCCGTCAAAGCATTCTTCTGGTTCGATATGATAAGTTTTTGTGGTTATTGCCAACAAAAGAAACCTCGTATAATTTGTCCTGTCCCGTTTTTTCATTCTCCTTTGGGGTTTGAGGCAGTTTTGTTGCTTACCGACGCCGTGTCTTGTTTCTCTTCCTGGTCTATGGGCCAGTGGTTTTGTTCTGATAAAACTGTTGAATGCCTGGAAAAAAAGGAGTTTTTATTATCACTTCTTTGGACTTCGTACTGTTCGGGTCTGACTTTTCAGTCTCGGGATGTGTAAACCGTGCCTTTACCTTGTAACATAGAGCAATCAATGAATGAATTCCATGGTACTCTCAGGATATCGCTTTTTCTTTAGTCTGTTATCATTTTGATTCCTCAACGTACTCTTCATCAATGTTACCTCCTGTAGTGTGGAAGGGGATTCTCTTAAAGCGATTTTATGCATCTTTTGTCTTCTGCGAAAGATTGATTTGAATATTGGAAAAATGATGGAGGACCGGAGATGATGTCTACTCTTGATGTCATTGATCTGCTAGTGAAAAAATAGTGAATTTTCACTTGCGGCCCCCTTCAATCTTGCTTTGACCCTTTGGTTTTTGAGTTTTATTGCAGCTTAGACACCAGGTTCCTTATTCTGAATCCAAGGTGCCATCAGTTGATTGCAATTATGTTCTTTGGTTTAGTTAAACTTGGACACCATTTACTAGGCATTTTCCCCTTATAGATGCAGTATTTCCTCTTTGCCCTCTTCTTTTGTAAATTTTAGAATTGAATGATCAGCGTCCAAGTTTTTAATTTTGAAAACTAAATTGTGAGGGGAATAATGATTTTCTTGTGTCTTGCATGTTTGCTTTTGTTCTTAAGCATATTTATCGACATATAGTTAAACATTCATTTCACTCTATTTGCTTTCAGCAATGTGAAGAAGTTAGAGTCTATGAACACACTGGTGTCATCTATTTGGTGGGTCCTTGGGTTTTATTGGATTGTGGTGGGTGGCCAGCAACTTTTGCAAGACTGTCCTCGTATCTACTGGTAAGAACCTTGATCTGAACAATGTGAAGTCAGGCCATGATTTGAACCTGCTATAGTGCAAGCAGACTGTGTGTGATGCATTTGGAACTTTATTTGCTGCCCAAAAAAATGCATGAATATGACAAAAGTATTAGTTCGTCTTTATGAGTTTATGGAGAATTAAGCTCTGTATTTACCCCATTCTTGCAGGTTAACAGTGGTCTTTCTTGCCTTTGATGTGTTTTTTATCATCTTTTGCATTGGGATGGTGTGTATAGTTTTCTTTGCTCTCTTTTTTTTCATCCCGATAGTAGCATTAGCTTATGCTATGAGAATCAGAGAGGGTGCATCAGAAGAGGATATCAGGTCTCTTCCTAAGTATAAGTTTAGTCAGTCAAATTCATTGGTGATGGTTGACAACAGTAAGAAGCAAGTTTCTAAAGCAACTATGGGTGCAAGCAATAGCAATCTTGTCAGCGAATTATATCTCAACCCAGATGATTCTGTGAGTATTATATCTTATAACATTTTGCTCTCAGTGACTCTGATTTCACTAAGCTGTAATTACTCCTTTATTGGTGTTTGGATTGAGATTTAACCCATTTTAAAGCTTTTAGATTATGACATAGTCTATCCTATGTCATCGCAACTTCTGTCTGTTGGCATATTTAAGTAATACCTGGAAATATAAACTTTCATTGAAACGCATATCACAGTGCATGGATTTCAGACCTTAAGGCTTGGTTTGGATAAGGAAAAATGGGAGGAGAAAACACTAAGGAAAAACTTCAAGAAATAATAAAAAATTTTAATCTGTAGCGGACGGCCCCTTAGGAGGTAAAAAAATACACAAAATGGAATTTTCTCTTATCTATCCTAATATGAAATACTTTGCAAGATTAAAGAGAATAACTTCAATTTATTCCCTGCTGAAAATTCAACATGCTCAAATGTCTCTAACGATGCTTGAGTTACTAGTATTTATAGACAATTTCATATTTTTCACTCCTTAAGAATGGAAGGTTATTTAATTAGGTCTTTATCATGATTCTTCTTGGTTGACATAGGGTCTGCGGTCAAGTTGCAAAATTGGACTCGTGACCCATGAGGCCTGTTATGAAACTGAACAAATCTCAAATCTCATCATAGGATGTGTACTTGAACATTGCAAATCAACGACTGATTAGCCAAATCGAAGGCTTTTGTCTCTTCTGATCCCTTACCTTAGAAATTGAGCCATTCAATTATTTTTTTCATAATATACATCTCAATTACAATATTCATGCAATGAAACAGAATTGAAGGCTACTGAGTTAAATTCTAAAAGCCTTTTCCATGAATTTTTACTATAGATGCTGTTTGTCATCGCAGTAGAAGTGCAATATTCATCTTTATGGGGTTAAGTTGCTTCTGCTTATTTTCCATCGCAGGAATGCTGCATATGCCTTTCTCCATACGTTGAAGGGGCAGAACTTTATCGCCTTCCCTGCACGCACCATTTTCATTGTGGATGCATCAGCAGATGGCTTCGGACAAAAGCAACCTGCCCTCTCTGCAAATTCAATATGCTTAGAAGTGATACATTGGTTTGACCATTCCTGGTGATCAGATAGGCATTTGCTACTCCGCTGACAACAGTTGGTAAATAAAATGTGTAGAGTGAGAAAGAGAAAAGAATTTCCCTACCCCTTCCTTCGATGTTTCCTTGAAGCATTTCTTCTTTCGAGTAGAATGTTGTCATTGCATTCTGAACTTTTGTTTATGAAGAGGAATCGGATGTACATATTGTAAAGGATGGATTTTTTTTTTTGGGGGGGTACAGTAAGGGGTGGATTTCTATTACTCTCCGGTTTAATATAAGACTCATTTAACTAATTTGATTAAATTAAGGAAGTTAGGTAAGTTAATTAATTATAAGAAATGTGACCCGTTTTTCCTAAAACACCATAATCATCTTTCTTAATACTCTTTCTCTCCTTTCTATTTGATTATATTGAGGGAGTATTTATAAGGATAATTTAGAGAACATTGATAAATATGAGAAATGGGTTGTATATTTAGGACTAAAACTAATTCAACAATTAGGTCCTATATTAAAGATTGGAGGAGTATCATAGAATCAATGTTTCTTACAGAGATGCTTTCTCGTTGCTTAACCCAAGCGAATTTCGATTGATTTCAAGTACCTGTAAGCACAATTTGGGCACACAAGGGGAAAAACAAAAGGTTCCGAATCCAAGTGAATATGATGTTTTGTAAAGAGAAGTATTTTGCAGTACGCGAATGAACTATAGCTCACAAGGAGGAGAATAAATGCCAGAATTGTTTCAAAACATGCGACAACCACGGAACAACGATGTAGCTGCAAACATGGGATGGGAAATCACAGTGCAAGAGGAGCTGTTAACTAAACATCAAATCGTACGAATCATTTCATCCGTGAAGATGAAGGCAGCATGAAGTCCAATGTTAATCAACCCCCGTCCAGGTTCAAGTATTCAACCGAAACTTAATAACATACAAATTAATTGTGGATTGGCTAAGCGCAAATCGTAAGGAAGGATAACTTGTGCTCGCGATCAGACATTCTTCAACTTCTTCATTTTAGAAGGTGGCCATCTTCCTTTTTTCCTCATTCTGCGCTTCCTGACAAGTCTTTTCCTCCTAAGCCTAATTTTCTTGGCCATTTTCATCCTCAATCTCTGCTCTTCCCTCTCTCGCAGCTTTGATTCCAAAGTAAGTTTGTCAACTGGCACAACCTCTCCCGTGCCTTGTGGAGGCGACCCACCCTCATCTGCCGAAGCTGCTCCATCAGCATCAGCGGAATCAGCTCTAACAACGAATGTGGCTGCTCTCCTAAAAGGGAACGCTGGTGATTTTCGAACTCCGCCAAAAAACTTAGAAGGCACATCGACGGGTCTAACGTGAAATCTGGAAACTGACACCGATACAAGTTTTCTCAAGAGAATAAACCATTATACAATTAATAAACAAGATGTATCAACAGAAACACATCGATAAATATATTAAAACAGAATCCGGAAATGGAAGGCAAGGTGTAGGAAAAGATGCCTCAAAGATTTGAAGAGACTAGAGAGAGTGTGTGACTGTGAGGTTCTTACCAGTGGGGGGAGCAACGGCCGATGTGGAACAAGGAAAGCGTAGGGACGAGGCAAGGGTGCAAGAATTGAACGAGAGAAGAGTCATTTTTTTCCTTCTCTAAGAAAAATGCTTAAAATGATGGCTCGGCGTTCCGCAATGGAGGGTAGACGGTCGAAACCGGACGCGAGGCGAGAGCGTTCAGACTTCAGATAAGGTTCCATCACTCGCGTCCAATTCGCTTACACGTTTGATTGGGGAATTTAAACCCCAAAAAAAAAAAATAGAGGAGATTAAAGAGAGATTACTTCGAAAATATACTTTTACCTCAATGCAGAGTGGGTTACCTCTAATTTGATTTTCCCGATAAACAACTTTTTAAAGAAAATAACTCAAGCAGTTAGTCCAATATGACATCGTATGATTGGATGTTATAACTCAAGCAAATTCAATACTCAGTTTAAGATTTAATATTCCAATTTTATCGGATGTTGCCAAGGGACAAAAATCATGAACCACGTTGGCCAAAAAAAAATTCATACATATAAGGCACATTATTTATAAATCAAATTGTGACTGGCACGACTTTTTTTTTTTAACAAATTTCATACCATACGGGAGAAGAGAACCCAGATAAGGGATTAAAGCAGATTGAAACAATCATCCTACATAAACAGGTTAAAGGCTAAATAATGTAGTAATTTTTTTAAAAAAAACATTTGGGACCATCTGGTTAAAGAACCGAGACTACATCGCCTTTTTTTTTTTTTTAGCAACTGATCAAATCAGTTTGTTCACTTTATCCCTATTAAAAAGAGATCTTGTATAGTCGAAGATCTGTTTCAGTAATTGACACCTAAATCAAGGACAAAGACTCAGCTAATGAAAATAAAATGGATTCAACGGGTTCAAAATCATTTTCCATTTATAGCTGCAAAAGATTACCGTCAAGGATATGTCTAGTGTCACCTGAGCACTATCAGTTACACACGTAAGATTTAGGGTTCGCATCGTAGGATAGCCTTGCGAAAACATGCCCTAAACCATTGAACATTACGTATGATTGAATCACGTAAATCTGTTCCAACTCAGTCACATACATAGAATGTAACATTTGTCACAAATCACCAATTAAATGCAAAAGTGTGTGTGTATATATATATATATAGAGAGAGAGAGAGAGAGAGAGAGTGCTTTCCTCATGGGTTAACCGGAAACGTCAAGCAAATGAATATCAACATCAAACCGGGTGTAGCCCCCCCCCCCTCCATCCTCACTATGGTAGCGTATGGGAACGAAATAATAGGGGGTATGTACAACAAAATCCACTGCTCCAACACTGTCACAAATAACAAAAATAAGAATAAATAACAAAAGGTCCAGGGACTTGCAAATTGGAAGTGCTTTCAAATTGGAGAAAATGTAGGTAATCAAACTTGCGCACTATGCATTTTTCCAATCAAATCAGAACAAGTAAATTTAAAATTTAAAAAGAAAGTTAATACATACTTTGATCCTTCAAGTCTCCTCTTATTTTGGATGTGATCCCTTAAGTTTTAAACTATAGGTTTTGGTTCCTCAAGTTTCTTTTCATTTAAAACATTGATCCCTATAATCCAATAAAAACTTAAACCATTTTGCCCCTGGAAGAACCAAAACCTATGACTTGAAATTTGAGGGACCAAAATCAACATAAAGACAAACTTGAAGAACCAAAGATTATATTAACCCTAAAAATAGGTTAATAGTGTCAACAGCATGAGCTAGTTACTGGACCAATAATGTGTAAAGTGTAAACAAATCCACTTCTTTAAATTTAATTGGAGAACAAGTATACTACACATATAAGTTCAAGTAGCTAAGTTTTTTCTCCTTTCAAAACAAGGCACCAGTTCTACCAAAAGAAAAAATAAAAATAATAATAGAAAAGAAGGAATAGAGCATCAGACGCCTAAAGTTGAAATCAAATGTTGGTTTTTAAGGATTCAATAAAATTATCATGAAATAATAAAAATAATAATAGAAGAGAAGGAATAGAGCATCAGACACCTAAAGTTGAAATCAAACGTTGGTTTTTAAGGATTCAATAAAATTATCATGAAATGGTCCATCTATGAAAAGGCAAGAGCATAAAGGAAATAAAACAAATTTATGTCATAGCAAGCATATGAATACTCGTCCTGAAATGTATAGATAGAAGCATGTAACTTCTTTTTTTCCACTAACAAGAAATATAAAATTTAAATTTTCTCCAAAATAAAGAGAAAAAAGCAGATAAACTTGACTCAAACTAACCACAGAAAGCAATGGCCCCTGTTTAAATCTTCCATGGAACGAAAATGCCATTGGCTTTGGATTGTCGCCAGGGCCTCTGATAAATCCACTGTAACATGTAATTGCAAGACAGCATAATTCAGTCCATGGAAAATGAGACTATCTCGACATTTCATGACTGAAAATTATTGCACGCATATGATATGGCATTAAAATTTACATAGGAAAAATATAAAGAGATTAACAGGTCTGCTGTGTTCAAACATCAACTCACATTAGTGACGTAGATATCAGAGGAGTCCTTCTAGTGTCATATATGGCAATCAGGCCTCTGTAAACCTCATCTCCATCTTTAAAGGAAACAGCCAATCGCTCGCCTGAATTATCCCAAGCTATCTTTTCAATGCCAAGACTGAACAAAAAAATAACAAAAGAATCAATAGGGATAGCACTGCTATCAATGAGAATCAAATCACGCAGAACCAATTACTTGAAAACGAGGGGGAAACTGAGAGAGGATTTAATCCCCTCCCAAAAAAAAAGCAAGGGCTAAAAGCAGAATTATATCAGTTGCTGCAAACAATTTGGAAGTACAAAAAAAAATTTTGGGAGAGGGGGAGTCCGAAAAGAAAAGAAGAGATACATAGAAGGAAGTAGCACGTCAGCAAATAAAGCATCACAAGCAATGCAGATAAAAAAAAAAAAAATTTTACTTGTTCTGGCACATATCTCTCATTCTAGCTTCATGAAGAGTTTTATACAAAAAGGTGGAACAAAACCAAAACCATTCTAACCAGTAGATTTCTCTCTACCTGCCCGTCAGTGACATTATTTCTGGCAAATCAACTGGTAACAGATGTGCATCTGAAAGAATAATCAAGAAGTAATTATCAGTGTATCACTCTGATTTTAAAGAAAAAATTTTCAAGCTAAGTAATAGGCGAAACATGACAGAAAAGAAGCTATTTTGATCCCACAAGCTTAACTATCACTACAGGAAAACTATTTCATCTTCTCAATCAGATTCAACCAATACAAACCCAGAAGCATACTATTGATTTCAGCAAGCAATACAATATAAGTGCAAGCTGTTGATATTCTTGCAGAAGAGATTTCCCCGTATCCTCTTCTGGCCCATTTTTAGTAGTAGACTCAATTGATATACAATAGCAGATTCCTCAGCTATGATAGCTTTTTCAGTGTTCCATTCTTACCCGTCCATACATTTTTCCCAGTATATCACAAATCATAACAATCTTCGCAAAGATGGGAAAATATTTAACCATCTACTAATTTAATTGAATTATTATTTAGCACCCAATACTTCCATCTTTACTGTCCATAACAGATCCAATAAGCATTACATAAAGAACTCAACATAAGAAATTCCAAACAAAGACCATATACCTAATGAGGGAGGCTTTGATGCAAAGTGAACAGATCCCAAGCTTGAAGATTTTGAAAAAGCAAGCAGTATCATGCGCCCATCAGGATCCCATGTTGCACCCTGATAGCACATTATGGATGGCAGGAACCATTGAAGATAATACAGTTACGTGATGACCATCATAAAAAAAGTCACAGTAGCTCTTGTATTTTTAGCGGACTTAATTCCGAAAAGATAACTTGCAAGGAAAGAAAAACTATTAGAGTTTGTTAGAGTTTATATAAAATGCATTAACAATACTTGCTTGTTAGAGTTTATATAGAAAAACTGTTACATGTCCAAGTGATCTCATATTTGACAAGTAGCAACTGGAAAATGTCAGTATCGCATATCATTGTTAAGATATTATAATTTGGCATGAAATTGATGAACATACCAACAACTTAAGTTAATGATTAAGAACTAAATATTATGGCTCTAGGTCATTATAAGACTCAAATATATGAAATTAGACCTTATATACCTTTACAAATCCACTGGTTGATGACCATTGTTCAGATGCCCAAGTGTTTGTCTCCCAGAGATAAAACGTTCCGTCACTGTTAAGGAACATAACCATCATAATATGAATGAAAACAATCTATAATTAGTTAATTTTAACATGTTCAGTTGAAAATGAGACTTGTATAGCATATAACGTACAATTTGGAGGCAAAGAAGTAATCTCCAGTAGGTGACCACTTCAGCATTGATATGCCCCCTAATCCCCGCCGAATTGGTGTCCCGACACCTACAGATAATATGCCAACAAAGAAAAAAAATCAAGAGAGCAGGTATAAACTTAATACTTGATGATTGCAATAATAAACTCAAAGACAATCCAAAGTTAGACTAGTGTTCGTCCTTCCTCAAACTATATCACAATCAACTCATGATCCTAACATAGAATAAGCAAGAGATATCTGACAAGTTTATTTATTTACGATTCCAAATATTTTATTTTGTTAAAGTGACATTTCAACTAAAATTACCCTAAGCAGGAAACCATTCATAAACAATAGCAAGGTGGTGTACAAACGTGCGCACGCAATTAACTTCCTTATATTTTCTAAGTAGAGCTCAAAATTGGAAATAAAGTTGTGACATTGAGAAATTGAAATTGTAACAAATGCCACTGGAACCAGTATTATTCCCCCAATTTTATTTCTTGATCTCAAGTGTGTCATCATAAACTACCAATGTAATCTGTATATCATTCCCCAACTCTCTACCAGTTTCTTCACACCTAACTCTTTTCTTGCTTGCCAAAGATGCTGTACTTATAAAAATAACAAATAAAAATAAAACCTTAGTCACAAAGTGAGAATATTTAATGATAGACTGAAATTAGAAATTAGAAATTAGGTGATGCGAACCAGAATCCTGGTGACTATTCATCTTCTAGAACTCATGTCTAGCATTCCTAAATTGAACCCTACACTCCAGATGCTTTCTTAATTTTCAAGGTAGAAGTAAAATATCAAACAAATTTTATTTGAATAACATCTAAATTCTTCTAGGGTAAAGTATCTAATAGATCCTCAGAGTATGTATGCATGGGATAGGGTGTTTCCAAACCATTCACATAATTATGAGCAGCCATATTAATGTATCACGTGTATGAATAGAGTGCATTCCACGTGTATACACAGAATCTAAAACTCTGGTCCGAGTAAACGTTTTGAATTTGATGAATAGACCCAAAGCATTATTCTTGACTATGGGCTCATTTTTAGTATTGCTATGTTCTGTCACAATCATTAAATGAGGTAAACGTCTCACAAAAATACAGAAAACGCATCCAAGAAATAGGGCTTTGGTGAAAGTAGTTGGGCTATGCTGTATCTTCATGTCCATATAGGCCACAGCCAATGAGTCCTTAGTCTCAAAAAGTTGACAAGAGTAACAGAGTCAAGAACCATGAAAAATTGCATAGAACAAGTTCTAAACTTATCCAGTAAAAGAAAGGAATATCAATGTCACATTATACAAATTAAGATCTTGACCATACCTTGAGCAACATCCCAGACGGTGAAGGAGGAGCTCTCATATGAAGCAGAAGCCAAGTATGTGAAAATAAGTCAAGAAAAGTATGAACGGAAATTAAAGTTTCACGGAAAAACTAAAGTATATACCCCAAGTCAGTTTTTAAAACCACCACCAAAAAGAACATACTTTCCATGTGCTTCCAGGGAGAAAGAAAAACAACCACCCATAAAAATGATATTCTCATCTGGAAAACATATATCAAAAGCAAGTAAAGCTAGTGGTATGTTTCTTAGGATATCTTCCATCTGGACTCCATGTAAGAGCGCTAATATGTTCATTGTCCTCACTGCGAAGAAAATCTGCCAGGATATACCGAATTCCGGTGCCCCTTGATAAACTTCCTACAAAGGAAGCTGCCCCAGATCTAACAGATGCTGCATTCCCCGGATAAGAAGCAGCCCAAATGCATATTCCGCCCCTGAAAAGTAGATTTCCTGATACAATATGAACAACGCACCATACTATTGGCGGCCCTACCAACAAAATTTGCGTAAAAACCACGCACAAATGGCAATTTCTCACTTGCATCCCACAGAGAGCATCCGGCCACCATTAGGCCTCCATTCAAGTACTCTAACATCTCTCTGGTACTCATTGGCCAACATGATTGGATCCTTCCCTTCTGTTCATAATGTCAAACAGTCAGCAATCATACAAGAAGCAAGAAAGTAAAGCTATTAAAACAGACACGAAACACCTGATAGATTAGATAGGTAAGCTACCTGAATCTTCATAGTCACGAAGTATAACTTGACTTGGCCCAGAGATAAACGCAATTATATGCTTATTCTGGTGCCAGCTTACTCCTTGAACATCAACCTCTGGTAGCAAATGCACCTACAAATCGTTCAGAAGACAATATGGCGTGAATTACAACCACATTGCACGTATATCATAAAAAAGGTAGCACGCATCAGAAACATTTTTTCCGTTTCATAAAAGAGAAGACGCCATACATCATTAGGGCGAAAAAGGCGTCTAAAGGACTCATTAACTAGCCGTTGCAAGATAGCCAATAGACCTTTTCTTTGGACCCCATCGCCATCAGTTCTTCCATCTTGTTCAGCATCATTATCAGAAGGCGGTGATAAGAGCTGCTCTAGCTGAAATGGCACTGGGCTAAACACCAACCCCTATGGCAGAAAAACGAGATGAAAGAACAAAATCCAAGTAAGTCTGCCTATCAAATTCAATCACACAAAACAATAAGACAGATGAATTCAATCAAGACTAAAAAGGTCACAAATAAGCATAATTTACAAGAAGCTTCCCGTAGGTGTCCTTTGCTCGATCGTCCGAGAGGGTTTCGGCAGTAACTGCAGATTGGAAGAATTAGAAAAGTAAAAAGATCACCGGCAAGAAGAACATGGAATGAAGAGACAGCGCATAAGGAGTAGAGATAGGAAGATAGTAATACTTAGGTCGCGATTGACTTCGCAGACGGTGACAGAACCAGGAGGAGGGAAGGAAGGCATGTCTGAACGGATTTTTGGAAGGTAGGGGGACTGTAGGGTTTTAGCTCGGATCAGCGCTTCCCTTGTCGAGCAGCCAACTGGGGTTTTACTGCATCCCCCTTACTTCCGAGCGAGCTAGGATAAACGGCGCGAAAAATAAATTTTAAATAAAATTAATTTTTTCTTTATAAAATTGGTTTTCTTAAGTTTAACTTTATAAAAGTAATTACAGAATTGATTTTTTATTTAATATAATTAAATACATCCACGCGCTAATAAAACTTTCCCTTATTGTATCAAAAAAAATTTTCCTTGTCCAAAAAAATTTAAGAGATTTTTCTTTTTAAATAAACAAATTTTTTAAAAACTACAGTTTTTAAAAAAGACTAGCTAGACGTAGGCATTAGGGGTGTTTATAAAATGATACGGGACCCGATAATAGAAATGGGATAATCAGGAGGGACAAATTGAACACTCCTAATAGACATAATAAAACAAGCTTTAATATAAAAAAATAATGTTTTGCTGAAAAAATGTTGATTATCATGCTGTTAGCTAAGCCACCCTAAGTAGAGTAATGAGCACAGGTGAGACTGAATAATTAAAGTAATTATCATACAAAAAACAATTAAAATAATTAGGCCACCCATGCGCATAAATAGAAAAGCAATGCTAATTTTTCAAAATGCTTTGACGGTATATGAAGTAAATATGTGAAGGAGTTTATCTCGATCTATAAAAAAGTGCTTTTCAAAAACACTTCTGATGCTTTCCAAACACTCCCTAAGAAACGATCTGAAAGAAGCCAAATGAATAAGGGAAGAAGGCAAGTGCACGCAATTACTTAGAAACCTTGCGCCAGCTGCAAGAGGCTTGTTCTAAAGAAGAGAAAACACCCGCAATGAGGCAAATTCATATTGACACCACAAAAGCCTGCAATCGGAGAGTGAAAATACAACTAAGAACGTGTTTGGAATAGTAGTAGCAGAAGTAATTTTTTTCCAATATGACTTTTACAGAAGTCATATTGAATAAAACCAGCTTCTTTGAGATTATTGCATAAGTTCATTTCAGTGGCAGAAATCAGATGTACAAAACGTAGATTCAAACATCATTTTTCAACCTACCAGTTACTTTTCCGATTGGGATGCACGTTTGGGCCTCCAAATGTGATCCCAAACACACCCTAATCAATATAAGAAGCTGTTTTGAAAACAATTTTATGATGACAACGCCCAGAAACTCACATTTTTAAAAAAAGAACCGTAGAACGATATTTGTTGGGCGTCTTAACCCAACAAGAAATAATAGAAAAAGGAGTTTTTTAATCCTGGTTTATAATCCTGATTAATGGGCAGGTTTGAAACTAGAAATTTCAGCGACCTGTGGGTTTTTCTAGTGCACCATCCCACACTCATCAATTGCATTTCATTATCATGCATGTTAGAGATCGGGCCAACTAGCTACGTGAACGTTCGTTATGGGTATGCAAAGCCACTCGTTCATACAAATTACATCTCATTGTCATACTTAGGGCCTGTTTGGTTGAATCTCATTATATTCTGCAATCCTGTGCATGGTAGTGCAATGAGAATTAATGCAATACTAATCACATAGTAGTGTTTGGTATGTTTATTTTTAGAGAGATGCAATAAGCTATATTTAATAATTATTTAAAATGAATAAATAGCAAAAGACAATTTTATCCTTAACAGCATCCTCTTTAGACGGGAAGAGAAAGAACAAAGATGTTTCCTATTTTTACTGCATAAATATCCTTCCTCCTTACTTTTCTTTTTGTTGGAGATTGTGCCCTAGGGGCCAATCATTGTGTAATGAACATTGTTGATTTATGAATTTCTTAATTATGTTATCATATTATTTGCATGTTTACTGTGATGACTATCTTTGGATAACTCATGATTTTATCCTAAATGTCCCTGGTCGGTCATCTATGTGGGAGCAGAGATGAAATAAGACCAGTATGACTTTGAAGATGTATAGAGATATAAATCAAAGTCATAGGCACATGTAAGAATACAAGGTGTTGGACCGACCTGCTATGAGAGAGCTGCATGGGTTAAGTCATAAGCTTATCTCATATACAAACCATGTCACTATGCCCTTTGACCTAAGATCATAATGGATTCCTACATGAGAAACGCTCAGCTTTGACCCAGTCAAAAGTCACTTTTGACCGAGTGATCATAAAGATTATGTTCAGGCTTAGTGGTTTTTCATATGGAGGAATGTGAATGGTCAAGATGGAATTTGTCCCTCACATTCGTAGAGAGATATTACCGAGCCCCTCGATGAGTGAGTCTGAGAAATGTATGGCCATACTGTAATGGAAAGGTAGTTCCATTTCTATACTCAGACCATTCAGGAATCAAGAAAGTAACGGTCAGGAATAGGAGGATGATGTTCTCCATGCCTCATCCATGACCAAAATGTCGTGTGACAAAAGGGACGTGATATGGTTGTATGAAAGGTTACATCGTTCATCGATCTTCATATGATTTGGGTAGTCGTGATGTCTTGCTAGAGGCCGCTTACGACTTGTGAGTCATTATAGTAAATGGCTCACTGCCAACTTCATATGGGCCTACAAGGTCGCACACAAAATAGCCCAACACAAGCTATGATGTCCAGATTCATTGAATCTAAGATATGTCCAGATTCAATGAATAATCTAGGGTGGACGTGTATATATATATAAATTCGGGTATATATATAATATAATATAAGAGATATTTATAAGATTTGATTTATAAGGATAAATTAAATCTCTATCACTTTTAAATTTGAAATTTAGATTGATATGATATCTTATAATATCTCAAATTTGATTTATTAGAATAAATCAAATATAATTCCGTCATGTCTTTATTTTGAATTAAATGAATAGGTTAATTAAATCTGTAGGGACGGATTTAATATAAACCATATTTATTTAATTAATTTCTTATCAGATTACGCAATATATGATATTGTATTAATTTCAGAATTAATTTAGGATTAATTCCGAAATCCAATATCCTTCATAATACCCATAGCATCTTATATATTTGATATTAGGAGCTAGGGTTTGAAATAGAGAGTGCAAAAGGTTTGCAGATAAGAAACGGCCAAAAGAGAGACGGTGAGGATGGATTCTCAAAAAAAACCCTAGAAGGACAAGAGGCGCTAGCACGTCGTTTGTGATTGGTACGCTGTTCGTATGGATACCGGTAGAGGAAGCCGATCTGAGTCGTCGACTTCTCAAGATCGAAAGGAGAGCATAGTCATCCTGAACGTCGGAATCCCCGAGCCACCAACAATTCGAATACCGCAGGTAACACCTCTTACTACTGGACTTAAACACAATCGGTAGATCCGGGCAAGGGATTAAAAAAATTTTAAAGTTAATTTCCGCTGTGTGTCTTTCAATTCCTTACACTTTTAACCTCTAGTAATGGCAAATAAAAACTCTCTCGACAATCTTTCTATCTAATCATCTAATGCAACACTAAAAACATACAAATCAAAGAGTTTTGGTGCTCATATATGAAGAGGTGGGAGTACAAGGGAGGATGGAGATGGATCGCGAGTTCTGCTTGTGTTCGAATTTGAAGAAATGCATTAGGTGTGTAGTGTGAATTACTGAAAAGCTGGTTAAGGATGGAGGTGGGGTCATGGGTCTTGGTGTTGCTCAGATTTGCTAAGGAGGGAGGTTAATTGCAGAGAATGAAAACCACAAGTCACGTTGCCGACAATGGTACCTGCGGTGTTTGTCTCGTCGTCTGCTGAAAATCCGCATCTTGTTAGTCTTGACGTGCTTATGTAGATATGGGCTGAGGGTTTGATGGTGGCAAAGTGGGAGAAGGTGTAGGCGCAAGAAGGAGTGTCGTCGGAGGTGGCCGTAGTGGTGATGTTAACTACAGGGTAAATTTCATGAAGGGAGAAATTAATGGACAAAGGTGGGAAAATGCACAAGTAGATGGGGTATTTTTGGCATAAAGCAATGGTAAGGGGATTGTAATGTAGATTCATTGGGGGGACCCTATGAATCCTCATTACCATTTTTTGGTAATTATGTTCACCATTACCGGTGTCAAATGTCAGCCAAACGTATACCTATATGGTAATGGGATCTGAATTACCATTTGTTACCATTGCAATCCCGCAATGCAATTGAACCAAACGGACCCTTAGATCATTTGCGTTGTTTTTCTTTTTCTTGACAAAGATACCATTTCTGCAAATGGAAATCCGAGCAAGATTTTGAAATACCAACCACCTACGAACCAGGCTTGTGTAAGTTTAATGTTCTATTGTCACGATGCTTGCTTGAGATCATAAAAAGGCTTGGTTAACTCAGAAACTTTATTATTTTTCTATTTTGCTATATTCACGTGGAATCTGCAATTCTGCATGTATTCTTTCTCCTTCAAGGGAGTGTTTGGATAGAAACTAAACCATGGTTTCAGAAGTACTTTTACGGATTACGAAGTAAACATGTGGAGGAGATTATCTCGTTTTGCGGAAAAGTGCTTCTGCAACCATGGTTTTGAGACGCCCAAACAGGCCCCAAGTCTTGTTGAAGAAAGAGAATGTATACATCTATCTATCTAATGATTACATCATTTTACAAAAAGTCGTCTAGTCTTAAATCTATTTATATTCTTATTAATACTATATCCGGTCCTTAATATAAGACTTAATTTGATTTTTATTTTGATCCTAGATATAGGATCACAATCTATTTTTTCTCTCATATTTATGTATTTTTTCTTAAAATAGTTCTTCTAATAATGATAATTCTAGCCAATATACTTGATTAGTAAGGATGTTTTAGGAAAACAACACTTATTTAGTTATTTATTACAAACAACTAACTTAACTTATTTTCTTCATCTACTCAAATTAATCAATTAGTTTTTATATTTAGGACCGGAGATAGTATCATGCTTTACCTTGTAAACCCACCTATTAGTACTAACAGTAAGAACCTGCTTGTAAATTTGGTATGAGTATCTAAATTTGTCTACAAGTGCATGTCTCAATCTGCTATGCCAAAGATATTGAGTCAG